TAGGGCGGATCACGCCAGATGGCCACAAAGTTGCGCTTGACAACGGTAAGCCATTGCTGTGTATACGGCATTGCGTATTCCCGGTCGTCGCGTGCTTCTTCATTCTTCGATGCATTCCGCCTGTTGGCCGTGATGTCTTGGATTTCCTTTGTCAAGTTTTCATTCTCGCGGGACCGCTCCCATACATCGCCCCAGTCTTGACCTTTGTAGTCGGGGTTTCCTGCGCCAATGGCTTCGAGCATGTACTCTGCTGGGTTTGTATGAGGCGGACACTTGTCCGCGCCGTTGCTTTCAAGGTACTTGATGAGGTTCTGCGAGTCGTGGCCCAGCTCACCAAAGTAAACTGTGCGACCGCCAGACTTGAGAAGTAGAAGCTGATCAAAGTGCTCAAAGAGCACAGCGCTGGGCTGGTGGATCGTGCAGAGAATGGCTTGTCCCGCATCAGCAAGCTTGCGCAAGAAGCGGACAATGTTGAACGCAGCACCAGAGTCAAGACCGGATGTGGGCTCATCAAGAAACATGAGTAGCTCAGGCTTGCTGGCAAGTTCCACACCAATCGTCAACCGTTTCCTCTGCTCTTGATTCAGTCCGGATCCAGTAACACCAATAGCCGCCCCAGCAATGTCGCGCATCTCAAGAAGATCAATAATCTTTTCCACATACTCGTACTTCTCCTCAATCGGCACCTCCTTTGGCTGCCGCAGTTTAGCTGAGAAGCGCAGTGCCTCACGTACTGTCGCTGTCGATTCGTGCACATCCATCTGCTCTGCGAAGCCAGTTGAACGCTGGAAGGATGCAGGAAGCGGTTTACCATCCACAAGGAAATCTCCGCGTACAACACCAAAGTTGATCCGTTGTGCAAGTGTATTCAGCAGAGTCGTTTTTCCCGCGCCAGAGGCTCCCATTAGCGCTGTGAGCTTGCCAGGCTTGACATAGCCCTGGACCCCCTTTAACAATGTCCGCTCGCCCTTTTCGTACGGGATTGTGTAAGTAATGTCCTGGAATGTGAAAATAGTCTCGTTCTTTGCGACGCCTCCAGCAGTGGCATCAGATTCACCATTGCCGTCAGCAGAGTGTTTTTCCGTGACTGGCTCGCCGTTTCCAGCTTCCTCATCCTTGGGCAGTGTCTTGGTCTCCATCTCTTTCTCAATCGTCTTTGGGACCTGACCACGCTTGTAGATGGTGACTGCACCGCCCCCTTTGTTGGGCTTCTGCATCTCCATCCCCAAAGCAGTGAGTGCAACGAAGAAGATGAAAAACGCGCAGATGAATCCAAAGTTGCGCCACAGATGAGACCGCGAGTACCCAAACGCCGCCTCAATATAGTCCGAGCCAGCCACAGTGAGAGAACCCGGTCTGTTACCCTGGATAGCGCAAGCTTGATACTGCTCCTCTGCACCCGGAACTTGCGGCGCGATAAACGGTGGCACGCACTGGATATCCAAGGTGTAAAACTCATTCGCCAGCAGACCCTCAAACCCATACTGAATAGGATTGATCCAGCGCAACCACGAGAACCACGGATGCATCTTCGAAGGCGGAATCAAATATCCCGTGTACACAACCAGTGCCTGGATCGCAACACCCGTAATCCTCGTCGCAACATCCAGAGACCCCACCAACGCGCCGATCGCCCGGAAAAACGCATACATCGTCATAGTGATAATCCAGAGGAAAAGCAGCGAGATAAAAAACTGTGACGCTGTCCGCGAGAGATTCGCCATGAAATACACCACGATATCGAAAATCACCACTTGAATCAGCACAAGCGGCACATCGATGACCGTCTGCGCAATCGCATACGCCGCAGGCCGGTAAAACGAAAAACTCTTGTGCTTCAGCAGAATCGGACGTGATTCAAACGCCGCTGTGAGTTCGGCCAGGGCGAGCAGCGCGTTGAATAAGAGCATGAAGAAAATGACACCACCGCGTGGAAACACGCCTGCAGCCGTGTTGGGCAAGTTGTAAAACAGCGACCCGACGATTAACGCTTGGAAGAGGATTCCGCCCCATTTACCGACCAGAGACTGCGGATCACCGATCATGACGAGGAACTGGCGCTTCGTACACGCCATGACCTGGGCGGGGAAGGAAATGGTAAAGTTCTTCTTCTTGGTTGCTTTGGTCTGGGCTTTGTGCCTTTCTTCCGCCTGGCGCTGCGTTTCTCTTTCGAATTCTTGGATCTCAGCGAGGTTGTCGGCGGCTTGCTCGCTGGCGGCGAAGGCTTCGCCAAAGGCGGCGCCCGTACGCGGGATGCGGTCTTCCCAGCCCTGCTTGATCTGGCGCTCGTGGTCGTCAGTGACGGAGGTTAGGAAATCGCTAGTAGTCCAGCGCTCGGGCTTCTCGAATCCAAGATTCTTAAAGTAGGATTCTGCTTTTTCAGTAGGGCCAAAGTAGCAGCATCTTCCTTCGTGGATGAGAAGTACTTTGTCAAAGAGTTGGTAAAGCGACTCGCCCGCTTGATATAGAGCGACGGCAGTGGAGACTTGGGCCATGTTTGTCAGAGAACGCAGACTCTGGACGTATTCGAGGGCGGTGCTGGCATCGAGGCCCCGGGTGCTGTTGTCCCAGCATTGGACGGAGGCTTTTGTCACCATGGCTTCGGCGATGGAGACGCGTTTCTTTTCGCCGCCGGATACACCGCGGATGAGCTACGGTAACAAACATACCAAGTTAGCCAAAAGTCTTATAACTATAAGCCTTCATGATAGAAAGAATACGTACCTCATTCCCCACCTTCGTCCCAAGCGTATGCTCAATCCAAAACAGCTTCGTCACCACCCTCAAAAACTCATTCACATAATCCTTTCTACTTTCCCCTTCTTTCCTCGATTCCTTCCCAGGAGTTCGGGTCTTCAACGCAAATTTCAGCGTATCTTTAACCTTGAGCGTCGCATAGTGAAGATCGTCTTCAGGGTTATACAGCACCTCGCTGCGATACTTCTTGCTCATCTCATCTGCATCAGTGCCGCCGTACGTTACATCTCCCGTGATGTCTTCGAAGCCGTAGCGTTGGTTGCCGATTATCTTGAGGAAGGTTGAGCAACCGGCGCCGGGGCGTCTAAACATATGAATTAGCTTGTGTTCGATCGCACAATAAGGAGAGAAACGTACCCGAGAACAAGTACCATTTCGCCAGGTCGTATGCATCCGGAAAAGTCATCAAGAAGTGTTCGTACGGGCGGCTTGCCTGCGGCTTTCCTTGGACCTTTTGTGAAAAAGTTCTTGACGAAGCGGACGGGGTCGAGGAAGAGAGAGCCGACGCTTGGTTGGAGTGCAGCGCCGATGCCCATTCCTTTTACTGTCAAGTGCTTGAAGATTACGCCCTGGTGCCTCGTCTTCTCTTCTTCTGATGCTTCTTGTCTTGTGCGCCCGAACATCTTCGACATTAGTTTGTTGATCTCGTCTTCTTCCTCGGCGCTGTGGCCGGTCGCGCCGGTATTGGTTTTGCTAAGCCCGTTGCTCTGGCCTGTTTTTCGTCGAGATAGTACGCGGAAAAGGTCATCTTCGGTCATTGGTTTGGACTTTCGTGATTGTAGGCCAGGTCTCTTGTCTTCTTGTGTACGCTTTTCAGATGAACCTTCGTGTTCCGAGTCGGATGAGTCGTCTTCGAGTACGACTTGCTGTTCCATTGGTGCTCCTGAGGCCGCTGTTTGTAAGTAACCATTGGTTGAACTAGGATGTTGCGAATCCGTATTGCCGTTGAGCTCCTCTTGAGTTGCATGCACATGGGCTGCATTTTGCGATGTCGGACCAGGCGATGGCACTGCAATTGAGTCATTCGGTTCCAATGATGCTCCCGGATTTTCCTTTCCATAGAAGCTCTGGCTGGTGGTGTGCAAGGCGCTGGAAATAAATGTGTTCTCGGTATTCCTTGTTTCGGTGGCACCTGGCGTGACTGAGTTGCCCTCGGTTCGTTGTCGCGATCCAATGTATGATTCATGTCGAATAGTACCTGCGGGCGTCTCTACCCAACCGCCAGGGATATTTGAAGGAGTTGGGAGGCCATCGTTCGAAGCCATTACGATGGTTCTCGTAGCCCAGAAACGGCCAATGAATTAAGCTCTCGTAGCGTAAGTACCACAGCAATGGATCCCCACTATGCAATGGTCAAGTGTCAAATGTCAACCTCGATGGCTGAACTTAGAATTCGGAAAACAATCCGCAAAAGTTTGACCGATTTCAGGGGGAGTCCGAAGAAAAGGTATAAAAACGACACCGACAAAACATCAATTACAGCGCCAAGTTACTTGTCCAAGCCCGTGTTGGGACTCGTATTTTGCGACGCGTCGGTCGCGCAATAGTCAAGAGCGAAAGTGGTGATGTCATGTTAACGTGTAAGTGGTAGAGGCGCTTCAACGTCGCATTCGCGTCGGCGCTTGCCAGTTGCCGAAACTACGAGATCGAAAGATGATCGAAATCGCTAGGCTGAAGAGTTCTCGATCTCTCGCCGTGCGTGAAAACGCTAGGTGTCCGCGGGGTGCGGATTTTCATTGAACGCGTCTGCAGGGATTAATTGACGCCTACGTAGTTCCCTTTTCACGGCGTTTGGTTGAACGTATACCATGTTTCTCTAGCTTTCATTTCTATCAAGACTTGACCATGGTATTTCCAATATTCAGTATGTAGATGGACATATCAGGTGATGAAAAACAGTAGAATGATCTCTTTGAATGACGTGAGGTGGGAACTTTCTAATTGCGTCATAGTTCAGCAAGCCAACGCTAAGAAGTGCTTGACATCTTGGCCTCGCACCCGCCTAGGTCCTAGATCAGTCTAGAAATACCCTACTGAGTCCTCACGCTGCGGCTTGATAATATTGATATATCATGGAACTTTTGGCGTTTAGTCTCGAAAACCCATGTACTTGGTTTAGACGACATACAGCAGGACATCGCATTTTGTCCTTCAAGCTGTTCGTACCCTTTTGAGTTGAAGAATGCATACCATGTTTATATGAATTATAAAATGTTCAATTACTTGACTAGTAAGAGACCTGATCAATGGATGAATATTTGGACAATCTTCTTTTCATAATCGTTCGGCACACCTTCCCCGTCCATCAAGCCATGCACATATGCATCACCGACGATTCTGTAGTGTCCACCAGGCGCATCTTGCATGGCCCGAATACAAAATGGTACTGTGCTTCCCAGCAAGATGACAATGCTGTCGCCGGATTGCATCTCAGGCGGGCCCATTCCCATGCAGCCATTGCTGGCGAGGAAAAATCGCCGGTCAAGTGTTGCACCCAGTAGCGAGTGGTGAAACGTCTTAATCTCATTCATACTGCTGGCATGTTGTTCCCTTCTCTTCAAGTCACCTTTTGCCTGGGATTGAGCCCAGTCCCAGAAGCCCTCTGCTATACGGCTCACGTCGGTGTTGCCAAATCGTCGGTATGCAGTGAACACCTCACCACTGAAGTCGAGTTGGGCGGAAAGGATGTCGACTGAATTCATGCGCTGTGGTTGCCACGAGTCGTTAGTAATCGTACGCCAGAATGCTTCATTTTCCGGGTTCTGTGGGCCAAGAGTGTGGTCTGCTGGATTTTTCAGTCGAGCAATGTGGCGCCACGATGTGATGCGGTCAATCAATTTGTGCCAATCATGATTCCCTGGCAAAATTGAACCCACTTGCGAAATAGTGAGACATGGTTCAAAGGCATCGGTAACCAAGACATTGCTCGCTCGTCTGACGCTGGCTGGGCGGCCACCTGCTGCAGAAAATAGCACTGCCCGGTTGATTCTATACCCGGTTGCTGAGCTAGAACTCTGCGACGTACGACCCCTTTGTGTGACCCAAGATGGTACATCAGGAATACCAGTTCGAGCTGTGCCCATCAATATATGCAATGAAAGAGTGCTCTGGATGTGCTTGGTAACAACGCGCATGAAGACCTCGCTCGGAGACAAATCGTAGTCAGGAATCAAAGGCGACTGACCAAGCCAGTCAGTGACCAATCCCAGTACCCCAAACACTTCGTCCCGGACATCTGTTGCGTTGCGCGAGTGTGTTCGACTCATGACCTGGTATAGGCTTAAATTTTTGTTTTGTGCTCTTGCAGCCCTCAGCCACTCCAGATCGTCGTACCTAGCCTTTCTCAATTCCACAATGGCTCGCAGTTCACGACCCCCTCGTGCCTGGTGCAGATCACCGCAGCAATGAATGTGGCGTGCAGCAGCGCGGGTGGATTCTGCCACCAGTGTCCAGGGTACAGTAATGATACCGTATAAGACGGTAGCTTTCCGAGCGAGTATTGTTTCTTGGACGACCCAAATCCGCGTCCACCAAGGATGGCTGCTCAGCGTATGCATAGCTTGGATGATGGCCAACCATGTTTTTCCTGCTTGTAGTTTACCTCCTTGAACATCAAAAAAGGGTATTTCATGAACGTGTTTGTCCATAGCTCGAAGTTTCATGTAGACAAAAAGGCCGACGACGTCTTCGATTTCATTGCCGTCTTCCTTTGAGCCATTCTTCAATGTCCCTTGCTTGAAATACGTGTCGACAATTTCCAAATCTCTGTCGTCACCAGTCCATCGGATAATTTTTGGTTGCTCCGAGGGAGAATGCGAGTCGCGGCCGTAACCTAGCCAGATGAAAACTTCGTCGGCGGAACTGTATATCTCCCTCATGCACTGCACTTGCTCGGACCGCTCGTGAATATCCGACTGATTGATGCACACTGCATCGAGCCAGAGGGCCAGAGTTTCTCCTGTAGCGCGGAGTCTTTGAAGGCCAGTGACTACGTTCTGAGTCACTGCCAAGTGTTGTCCGTTGACCGTAATGGATAGTTTATTTGTGGTGTCGCCCCATACGTATGAGATGGCCTGGAACTTGGGGTAATCTTTCAAGGATACGGTTTCCATGCGACATTCGATGCCATCATTCCAAGCACCCGGATAGAGATACAGTAAACGTATCTCTTTGCGGGAGGTGTTGAGTGGTGAATACATGCGTGGAGAGTGAAGTGTGTGTGCTACACAACTGCAACCATTGCCGTCCTTGGCACTTTTGAACGAGGATAGTAATGGACACTCGCTTACGAGATTGATGACAAAACATGTTTCATCCTTTGACCCTTTAATGATACAGTCCTGTATCGGAATTTTAACGGGCTTATCGATATGTTGGAGTTCGATAAGAATTCTAGGCACCCATTGAAGGTATGGAGTAGGCTGCGAGCAGAACTTCATCTTGCAGCTTACTTCAACACTGTTTTATCCGCGCCAAATGCATCTTTTGGGAGGGATTCTCTCGTCTATACTCATGTATGAAGAGATCTAGTCTTATCACTTCGTTGTGCCTTAACATTACCTTGCCATTGACCTTCCTCTTTAAGTACTAGGCACCGAACCTTTGGCTGACACACACCGTAGAGTGCTTCGTACTTTCATTGACTTTGAGGAATAGGGAAATGTATTGTTTTTGGGTTTGCATTTTACCGGTTGCACGTATCTAGGGGGAAGCCTGACTCTAGACACTGTCCAGGCTATATATATACCTACACAAATCACGCCTGAAGGACGATTGAGTTACGTTTGACCTATCGGTCTCATGACTGGGATAACAATCCATAGTATGGCATGGAGTACCCAACCATGAAATGTTCTTGCACGTGTCGTAATGATCTAGTCACTTTTGTTGTAAGTAGTCTGGCAAAAGAAATGCCAGCACATCGTGTTCTTCGTATTAGGGTGTATGGCGGTCCAAAGATGCGGAGAAGAGCGTTGCACAACAAGGAAGTGGAGCTGTGAGACGACGATAGTAGCCGATAGACCTTTCTAAACAAATTCGCGTCGTTCGCTATATCAACAAAGAAGGGCAAGTCTACGGTTTGGGTGCAGCCTCCACGCAGATGCAAGCCCGCCAAGCTACGATCGGCGCTAGGACGGCCCCTGTCGTATTGCCTGCAGTAGCGCGCGTGGAGTTAGGAGACTCGGCGCGGAAATATGCGGCTGGACGCAGTCCAGACGCTTTCAACCAGCGTCAGTTCCAGGTCCTAGGAACCTACTTTCCTTTTGTCGCCCTTTCGCAAACTACTATAACCTGCGCTCACCACTCATGTGCTGTGCTGGCCTGCAGATTCCAGGAAAAGATCGCGCACCTTGGAAGACACCATGGTGGTGAGAACTGCATCCGGAACGCTGGGCGGGGTGTCCATGAAGCACCTCTCTCTGGTCACGGTAACTAGACATGCGGCTTGACTGTACATGTCAAAGGTAAGCTAACGGCTGCGCAGTTGACAGTCCAGAACTCAGCCCTCATTCTGGTATGAACATCCCACAATCCGAACAGCAATCTTTGCCCGACTGAAAAGAGGCATGGAAATTGGGGTCGCACGGAAGCATGGCTATGCCACGGCTGACGCGGACCAGATCATGCATTACTCGAGAATCATGCCTTTGGCTGGAGGACAAAGATACCATACAAGTACAAGTGTCTTCTTGAATGAAGTCATCAAGCTGACCATTAGCTTAACCATGGTACGAATGTTTCTAGAGAAATCAGGCGTTGAGCCATGCGCTGACAATTCAATAGGCAATGTACGAGATGTCAAAATCGCTTCCGTCGAATACTACGATCGCGACCCTCTCGCGCACCTTGACGACCGCTATATTCACCAATGAAAGCTGGAAGCTTGCCGTACCCGCCGTCATATACACTATACAGAATAATCTCCAGTACTTGGCTGTCAGCAACTTGGATGCAGCTACGTTTCAGGTCACCTACCAGCTCAAGATTCTGACGACGGCCATCTTCAGCGTCCTGTTATTAGGGAGAACGCTTTCAGCACGGAAGTGGCTCTCTCTGCTGCTGCTTATTGTTGGTGTATCCATTATACAGGTGCCCCAAGCATTATCGCAATCAGATGTACCGGCAACAGGACCCACGCCCTGGACAAAGACTCTTGAACAGCTTCACGGCCTTGGCCACAACGTCGCAGCACGAATGGCGAAGCGATCTGGATCTTACGAGGGCATTCATGAAGATCGCGCGTCGCAAGTACCGCATATGGATAGACGGGTGGGGCTCTTTGCTGTTCTGATCTCCTGCGCACTGTCCGGCCTAGCGGGAGTGTTGTTTGAAAAGATTCTGAAGGACTCGACAAGTGGCAAAACCACGACATTGTGGGTGCGCAACTGCCAGCTTTCCTTCTGGTCGCTGTTTCCGTCACTGTTCTTGGGTGTGATTTGGAAGGATGGAGAGATCATAGCAAAGACTGGGTTCTTTGTTGGCTACAACTGGGTGGTGTGGACTGCCATTGGGTTCCAAGCAGCTGGTGGTGTAATTGTCGCATTGGTCATAAACTATGCCGACAACATTGCCAAGAATTTTGCGACCTCCATCTCCATTCTTCTCAGCTGCATTGCTAGCGTATACTTTTTCGACTTCAAGGTGACGCAATCGGTAAGTAAGCGGCGAAACGCTGGTTGCTCAATACTAAAGAATTGCAGTTTTTCCTGGGGACATGTATCGTCTTATTTGCGACCTATCTTTACACAAAACCGGAGCGGGGGATGCAGCAATCATCTGTAAAGATTGTCGACTTTCAAAAGACTTCGGTCGAGCGGCCTTACGAAGACCGCGGGTACGACAATGTACCATCCAGTCCGCCAGGTTTTGACAGGCCTCACAAGCCATCACCTGGATCACCGACGATAGAACGACATTCTCACAAACGAGAAGCTTGAAGACTGAGCACTGTAGATTTTATAGATTTGTATGAGACGGAACAACAAGGCTCTCTAAGCAAAAATATGGGCCTGTTCATGATGTTTAGTGACTTGAATTGGGCAAGATAACATACATAGACATCTACCTGTTCGATACGGCCTCATGTTTTACTAACACTTGGCCAAACGCGGCACGACCAATCTATGTAATATCATGCAGACGGCATTGCGAGAACATAGTTTGATCGCAGCAGTACAGTACACAACAAATGCCTTTGGTGAGTTTACGGGAGTCGAGATGTTCCATGTACACTATCCAGTTCCGGTAGTTGCAGCTTCCTTCATAGTGCCTTCTACTTTCGCAACCACCACCTCTCTCACCTCAAACGCCATTCCGAAAAATTCCCACAGCTTCAAAGCGTACCTTCACCTCTGTTGACTCGTTCTAAACGGATATATCCCTGATTTCTGCATATCCGGAATGGGTGAGCGTTCCTATCACCAAGAACGGCCAGATAACTCGCGACGTGTGTCGCGTTACAACATCCTTCAGCCTCAAATCAAGCAGCCAGCCCGCCTGACTGCTCCTCGAGATCGCTATCATGTGACCCGATACGATGATCCCATGTACGACACCGTTGAAGACGACCATGGCAACGGTCCAAGATCTCAGCTCGATTCTTTCGGTACTCATATTACAATGGCTGTCTGAACCCAAAAGACTAATAGTTTTAGACGAGAGACTGCTTCAGCATTCGTATCTAAATCGACAGCCGCAAGTCACGCACGGCAATGGAAGATTGTCGCTTGCGCCCGCCCCATCACAACCCTCACATGGTGGCTGTGGCAACTATACATATCACAATCAAAGTAAGGATACACCACCGACGTATAAGATAGAGTTGTTGACTTGCCAGGTGAATATCGATCCCATCCAGAGCAAGACATGGGAAGCCGATTGAGTGAGTACAGATAAATTTTGGTAGCTGATGGCTGTGCTGACTACCTATGAGGTCGGTTTGCCTACAATTCTGCACAATTCCAAGATTCAAGTCCCAGCCCCAAAATTGGCCAGTCCTCCAGCCCAGCATTCAAAGCAAGTCAGCGCCGCATAGAACACGTCAGCGCATCCATGGCGAAATGCGGTTCAAGAACCCAGATGTCCAGGGATACCCGGCGGCACACCATAGAGCTTGATGTACATGGATACCAGGAATTTCATGGGCAGACTGTATCTCCCAAATGTCAAGAACACGCCCTTGGGGAACTGCCGTCCCTGGATCCGGGAGAAGACCAAGACTTTCCTTGCCATCGGGGGCAAAATCTCAACGAATTACAAGAAGGTGCCGTGAATGCACCGCATGCCCCTCCCATATGCCAGGGCATCCGTCTCGTTCCGATCACAACCTTGCCAGATCGACTTCGGGCAATATTCCCTTATCCAACGTTCAATGCGGTGCAATCCAAGTGTTTCGATACGGTCTTCCGTTCTGATAACAACTTTGTTCTCGCATCTCCAACAGGAAGTGGTAAAACGGTGGTTCTCGAGCTTGCCATATGCCGAGCATTTGCTACCAATTCAACCGGTCAATACAAAATTGTCTACCAGGCACCTACCAAGGCTTTGTGCTCAGAACGACAACGTGACTGGGAAATAAAGTTCAACAAGATTGGTCTAAAGTGTGCCGAGCTCACTGGTGATAGCGATATATCGGACCTGCGACATGTACAATCCGCAAACATAATCATTACGACGCCTGAGAAATGGGATAGTATGACTAGGAAGTGGAGAGATCACGAAAAGCTGATGAGACTCATCAGAGTTTTTCTCATTGATGAGGTTCACATACTCAAAGAGGACCGTGGCGCTACCCTTGAGGCAGTCGTGTCTCGGATGAAGTCTATTGGAACAAATGTTCGCTTTGTGGCACTTTCAGCCACAGTACCCAACTTCAATGATATCGCAACTTGGCTAGGTAAAAGCCCAACAGATCCAGACACTCCGGCCGCGAACGAGAGTTTTGGTGAAGAATTTCGACCAGTGAAACTGCGAAAGCATGTTTGCGGGTACATGTCCAACGCCAACAACGAATTTGGATTTGAGAAAGTACTCGATAGTAAGATAAAAGATGTCATAGCTACTTACTCTGAAGGTAAACCGATAATGGTGTTTTGCGCTACCAGAAACTTCACGCTTAACACGGCGAAGCTGATCGCTAGCTGGTGGTCTTCAAGGATGGACAATGACCGCTTCTGGACAGCACCATCAAAATCAATCCGGCTTTCAAATAAAGACCTTAGGAACACAGTCGCTGCAGGTGTTGCGTTCCATCATGCTGGTCTTGACATAGAAGATCGGATGCAAATTGAGAGACACTTCATCGCCGGCGAGATCAGTGTCATCTGTTGTACCTCTACACTCGCTGTTGGAGTCAACCTGCCCTGCCATCTTGTAATCGTCAAGAACACGATGGCTTGGGGGCCAGCAGGACATCAAGAATACTCCGATTTAGAGATGATGCAGATGCTTGGTCGCGCGGGCCGCCCGCAGTTTGACGACACTGCTGTAGCCGTCATTATGACGCGCCAATCAAAGGTCCGACGATACGAACAGATGGTTACTGGTCAAGAAATTATAGAAAGCAAACTTCACCTTAACTTGATCGATCACATGAATGCTGAGACAAGCCTTGGGACGATCTACGATCTGCCATCAGCAAGAAGATGGCTCAAAGGCACCTTTCTCTTTGTTCGACTCCAGCAGAACCCTGCGTATTACAAACTTGAAGGGTCGAAAACTGGTCAGAGTGTTGAAGAGCAAGTGGATGATATTTGTTTTCGCGACGTCAACCACCTGCAACAGAGCAATCTAGTCTCTAGCGAAGAGCGTTTCACATGCACCGAATTTGGACATGCTATGTCGCGGTACTACGTGCATTTTGAGACAATGAAGTTGTTCATGGGACTCGAGACAAAGTCCTCGCCCTCTGAGATTGTGAGTCACTCAAAACCTTGATCCGTCTTATGTGACCAACTAAGGGAAACTCAGCTTTCGGCTATCGCACAAGCTAAGGAATACTCCAACATACGTTTCCGCCAAGGCGAAAAGACATTCTACAAAGTATTGAACAAGTCACCCTCAATCCGTTGGGCTATCCCTGTCAATTTGGATCTCCCAGCACAGAAGATTTCGCTCATGATCCAGTCTGTCCTGGGGTCTGCTGATATCTCATGGGACGGTGACATGGCCAAACATAGATCACAGTACGCAACAGAAACGATGATGGTGTTCAGAAACATAAGCAGTCTCATTCGATGTATTATTGACTGCCAAATCGTGCTGGGTGACGCTGTCAGTATTCACAGTGCGTTGATGCTCGAGCGAAGTTTTGGTGCAAAGGTTTGGGACGACAGCCCGCTCCAAATGAAGCAGATCGAGACTCTAGGCGTGGTTGCTGTAAGAAAGCTTGTCAATGCGGGTATCAAATCCATAGAAGATCTCGAGGGATGCGACCCACATAGGATCGAAGCTGTGGTTGGAAGAAACCCACCTTACGGCCTGCAGATTCTTGAGAAGATCAAGGGTTTTCCAAAGCTTCGTGTCTCACTTCAAGAACAGCCCTCTACGGTAATATAAGTGCTTGTAGTTATTGATAAATTTGCTAACGATTATGAAGATCGTGAAAACTTTGGAAGGAGTCAAAATGCAGATCAAGACAGACATTAGCTTCATGAATGAGCGGCCACCTGTGCGCTTTAATAATAAGCTCATCTACGTTTGCCTTCTGGTGGAAACATCCGACGGGCGTAAGATACACTTTGCCCGCATCAGGTGTGTATGAGGCTTCGCTTAGTCTATACGATACTTACCTTGTTCTAGTGGTTCTAAACTTGGTACTGGCCAAAGCCTCTCCATTCCAGTTCTTTTAACTGGTTATGACCAATCCATCAACTGCCATGTCATGTGTGATGGTATAGGTGCGTATATGTCCGTTTTCCTAGTGCTATTATCTGACCTTTTGAAGCTGGCAGTATGCGCAGCGCCACTGTGAGACCTCAGATACCCCCATCCATGTATCCAATCCCGAAACCTTCAGGTTTAGATTCATCAGCCCCGAATCAGTCTAATATGTCAAATCGACGCACGGAAAATGCGCAAGAAAGCTGGAAAGCATCTACTACCAGTGATGATTTTGGTGATGACGGACTCGACGATGATACACTAGTGCGAGCTGCTTGTGAAGACCTCAGATTCGAACATATCGACGCATATCCCGATCCGCTTGCAGAGAACGCTGAGCCCAACAACTCCAAGGCTAATTCGAACAACAAAAAGGATGCCGGAAAGGTCCTTAGCCTTCCAAGGCCCCCCGAAACTGTTGTTAAGGGCACTGCTCAGGATCCAGTGCAGCTTGCAAATGGTAAATGGGCATGTAATCACCCATGCAAAGACCGCGAAGCGTGTAAGCACTTGTGTTGTAAAAATGGCATGGACAAACCGCCAAAGAAGAAGCCTGTGGCCAAACCCTCTCAGCTGTGCGAACCCCGATTGCAGTCGCAACAGAAACTCCCTGCTCCAAAGGTCAGAACAACTCAAACTATGCTCCAGCTTCCAGCACCTAAAAGAAAAGCTTCTATTCAAATTGAAGAGTTGGATCTCACTCACCAAGGAAAGAGGAACAAGGTGGACCGAGATCTAAATGATCTGGAAGCACAAAGCGAGATTCAAGAGACTATGAAGGGAAGTAACATGTCTTCTGCAAGTCATCCAATCTTGCACACGAAGTCTGCGTATTGCTATCACCAGGGCGATTTGGGCAGAGCTTGTTCTTCTAAATCTTTGGTCACAGAACCACTCTCTGATCCAAGCGACTACGGCAACATCCAGCTTGACGATCCTCTTGATTTTCTTGGTCCTCCACAACAACACAGTGTTCTATCCGACTGCAATACCCAAACAGAGTACCATGACCTTGTAGATTGCGAGACGGTCGCCCTAGGTATCTCTCCAGAGTCGGAAGCGTTTTGTGACGATGACTCACTACTCGAAGACGTGCTGGTTGGCCTAGCTGACTCGCATAGCCTGCAAGATAACAATGAAGGCAAGTTTGATTCAATGAAAGCTGTGGAAGGTTTTCTTGACTGCGCAAACAAAGAAAGCTGGGGAGAGGCGCGGCATTTGAAAGGCGATGAAATCGCAGGTGTCAAGGTGATTACGAACAATGTTTTGCAGAGGACTGCTTATACCGGAGTCCACCGGGGATCCCGCGGATCGCCAACTGAAATACAGAGCTCTCGCCCCGACAGAACAATAAGTACTATTAGAGTCGAAGGCGTATTTCCAGATGCTGTGACGAACTTTATCGACGACAGCAAAACTGAGAGGCCTGCTCCCCAAAAAGACAGTCTTACCGTGGCTCAGTTGAAGAAATACCAGCAGCCATCAACTACTCAGGAGCTCCCAGAGTACTTAGCAAGAGCTGTTTACGAGACTCCTTGCTCAGTCTCAACAGAGAAGAAAATAGTTCCTGACGCTTTCAAAGACCTCGAGCCATGGCTCCTCGAAGAATTCGGCGACATAGTAGAACTTGTTGATGAATGAATGTTCAGTCAAGTTCTGATCTTAGATACACTGCAAGAAATAAACATAGGTGTCTCATTGTATGGAGGTGTCTTTGTTCAAGGTCCTCGATCAATCCTTCTTTGTTGCTCGATCATTAGAATTTCAATCAGCGCTGCCATCCCTCCTGCACAAAGGCATTGTTGGGAATCTTTTTGATGGCTCTTTTACCAAAGAACATCTTTCTCTGAATTCAGATCACATTTCATCACTTCTTAATATATACTACGCATGATGAACAAAAAACGCATCTCCATTTAGAATTCAGCGATTTTCAAGTTGAACGTGAAAAGAACATTCGGTCACTAATACCAATATGAACAACTCGCCGCTAACAACCATTATCGAAGAGACATCGAGTGCAGGTACAACAACAACCCAGGAACCTAGCTCTACGCCTCCTGGATCCGTGCAACAGGAGATTGTACCTGACGACACAGACGATTGGCATTGCTCGGATTTCTTACATTGTCTTGGAGCGGGAGATCCAGAAGGAATTGTTCAGTGCGATGCCGCTACTGAGCAAGACTGCCCAGGGTTAGCAGCATTACTTTTACCAACACCAAATTCTTACGTCAACAATGGTATTCACGCCGGTGAACATCGAACCCGGACTTGCGGTAATTGCAGACTACACGAAGGGCATCCTTTATATCCAAACAGGCTTGCACTCATTGATAGTGATTCTAACGTTCTACCTGGAAGCGGAATCCGCAGCCAACTTTGTCGTAGTTGTATCTACGACGAAGTAGAACTATACTGGTTACGTCAAGGAACAGCCCGCCCCACGAATGCCGGGTCGAGTCCGCATATACGACAATGGCCTGCACCCAACGGTATTCAGAACCTTTGCATGTGTGAAGGATATACCATCAACTTTTTCGGAACTTCCTGTTGCCATGCCTGTCGCGATGCGGCCTTCTTTCACTTTTGTTACAACCCCTTTCAGATGACTGAAGACGTCCTCCACAGCTGCACCCAGCCCGTTATAAGAGGTGCCCGGATTTATGTCAACCAGGACCACGGACGTTCCATGCGCGTTTCCGCCGCCACTGTCCTTAGACGTCGGGATCAGGGTATTGGCCGCATGTGTCCTTGCGGCAATAAGCCAAAACGGCCAACTCCACAGGAGTACATCACATATTGCATGGCTTGCTTGGGCGTCCGAATAATTCCTAATTTTTTACCGCGAGACTTGCGACAAGGACCTGTCATGGCTAGACATGAGAGACGTCAGAGCCTAAGGAACAGGGGGTTTAAGAGGACAAAGGGGCCAGCGGCCGCACAGAGACATCCAACGTATAGGGTTAATATTGAGCGTGCATGGCTAGCACCTGATCCGGATATTGGAGGGACGTGAGTGTAGTAATTTGAGTTCAAAACGTGTTTAATCTAGTTGTTTTCATGCGAGATATGTACGATGAAGGGGAGGGAAAACTGAATGATTGTGTGTTCAGGATATTCGCTGTTGTTTCGAGTGTTTGGAGTTAGTTATGTACGATAGCCTATGAGCAAGCTTAAGGCGCAATCTACGAATGCGGGAGGCCTTTTTAAATCCTAAAATAGAAAGCAAGGACACTAATGGGAGCTGTACGTGTACTTGATGTGCGTCCTCGCGCAGTACTAGTGGTCCCGCCCTTTGGAAACCGAACCCAACTTCGCACTTCTGATAGGGCATCCCTTCAGCTTATGACCCCAAGATTGACCACTTGAGCAATTCCAATCGTTCCACCTTTGAATTCGTTTCTGCTAGAGGCCCCTCTTTTCTCCGCCACAAACACAACGTGGACGGGTAGTCTGCAGCCTACGAACCAATGTGGGTGCGCCACGTTAACATGGGTAGCCTTGGCGCTTAGGACGAACACTTCGATCGTTCTACCTGCAATAGCCAATAAATGCATGTCGCATGTTCAGATAAACAAAGACAACAAAAGGAGTAACCTCTCAAGCTGTCGTGTGACTACGCACGCGGAAAGTTGAACTTTCGTGCGTAAAAAGTCTCCAGTAGTGTAGTACTACAGCCCTTTCATCAATTCCGCACAACATCAACCCAGGGGCCACCAGATAACAGACAACAAAATGGCCCAAGCCTACCCCATCATCTTCGATAACGTCGACTCCGAGACATCAACCGTCTGTACCTCCCCGACTGTCTGCACCACATCCCCCGTCCACACCCCCTCAACAACAGTCTCAACCCCCACCACCTCCAAAGACCACCAAAAATGGGAAAACTTCCAGTCCTCAATCCCCTGGCCCGGCCGCACATTCATCATCCGCTCCCACGACACAGGCCACGTAATCACCTTCCTGGACGGCGAAATCATCCTCGACAAACCCGGCGGCTTCGGCACCTTCCGCTGGCGCTGCGTCGAGAAAAGAGGGTGGCTCGGCTTCCGCGACCCAGTCTCCGCGCGGTACATGGGGTATGATAGTCGCGGCTGGATCCGGTGCGCGGTCGACAAGCAAAATGACTGGGAGTATATCTGTGTGAGGAAGCGGCCTGAGGGCGGCTATGTGTTGTTGGTGCTTGTGGAGAATAAGCTGTTGCCGATGGGGGTTTGTGCGCAAGAGACGGCCGGGGTGGTGAGGCAGAGGGTTAAGATTAGGGATTGGAATTCTGAGGGGATTGTGTGGGATTTTATTGAGGTGCCGTGTCCGTCGTCAGTTTGAGGGGTTGGCATTTGATTGATAGGCGTTTGATTTTGGGGAGAAAGAGTGGAGCGAGATTGTTGGGCTCTTAGGGGGGTTATATCACATGTGGGGTCTGGTGCGAAATCTCTGGATACTAACAAGATGGGGGGGAGGGGGGGATAATAGCACGCCTGGATACATCGGATCCGGTATCGCAAGACACTGTCGATCATTGAACTGCCACGGGGTGGTTGGGAATTTTTGGAATCAAGATTTGGATGCATGGGTTGGGAAGGAGCGAAATCCGCTCATATCTATTCTATCCCGATATTTAGGAGACGACTTTATGGATATACTCAGGAAATTGGGGAAAAAAGAAGAAGGGAAAGAAAGTGGAGACCGTCAGTGATCAGCGGTAGGTTCCGCTTCTGGTGTCTCAGAGATGAAGTGTTAGAATAGCTCTACTTTCTTCGTAGAAGTAAAGCACATATCATTATTCACTTCTGCTCCATAAGTTACCGAAATTCACGCTAAAAAAAACATGTGCCATTGCGTACAAAAGCTACCCAATATTCTTCGCATAAGTTACCATACATGCCACGAAGATGCCAATCCCAGTTGCCATCCAAGAGCTAAACCCGAAGGCACCTTGAAAATCCTTTTCCAGCATAGTCCATAGAATGCCGAAAAGGAGGCTGCCAAAGAGAAAAATAGCGGCTACTACACCAGTGATCATGTCGAAGTTAATCCCTTCTTTGTAGTATATGCCCCAGCCTTCTGCTGGTCCTCCTACGCATGCTTGGAGTTCCCCAGCCGTTCTTTTTGGTAGTTGTTCAAGAACCCATGTCTCGTCTTCATGTATGCATTCCGGCGAGGAAAGCATATGCATCAAGTCTTGTGACAGGACTGGGGGCCATGTTGCGAGAGGTCCAGCTGGTGAACAGCGATATTCGGCGTCTGGGGATGGCTCTACCTTTGATTTTGGAGGTATGCACTCACAAATGACTGGATTCGTTGAGGTGCAGCATGGATTATGGTCTCTGACCTCGACGTTGTTGCCCATACGAAGGCGAAACTTGTATTTGTCAGACCTTGTCCTTGTTCTTAATCTATTGATCTAAGACTTACCTTGACAAAGAACATTCCTTGTATGCTTCTCATTGCTAAGACACTCCGAATACGACTATGATTGCGCCGTAGTTGCTGCTTCATGAAGCAAAACAAGGCCCGATCAGTGGATATAGAATCGATTGGATCTTGCAAAAGGCACTTCCGCCGTTCATTTCGGTGCGCACAGGCTAGAAGATGTAGCCTGGGGATTGAACTGGTTGGTGTGTTTGCAACTGGCGCTGACGAGGTTGAAGGAGCAGAACGATTGGAAGCGTTGTACTGCGGTAAGCCACCTCCAGAGTTAGGGGCCGTTGCTTTAGCCGAAGAAGAAAAAGTACCAGCAATCCGTCTTGCCCAAGCGGGGAACTTGAAGTTCCAGGTTTGTTTTTTCGATGTCTTGCTGTAGGAAGTTACAGTGATATTGGCACCTGTGGAACGGCTCATCCTGTCGGTGAGTTCATGAATCCCATTGTGACGGTACTCCGTCACATCACCGAAGAAGCTTTCTCCGCATCTCTGATAGTTGATCAGTAATCGCTTGGAAATCTTCACCCACCTCCGATGTTGACTTACGCATCTCCATCTTAAACGAACCATCCCAGGCTCGAGAGGCGGCTCTAAAAAACCTGCTGCGATGAACAAGTTCCCGAGCGCCACCTGAATTTGACTGAAAAATGTCCGATGATATCGCTTCTCGATGAATTCTTCTCCGGGTTGCATTGGTAGATACACTTCAGGCACAGGATCAGGCATCTGATTCGATGATTGTACCTTTCCCCCGTCATCATCCCTATCTTCCTCCACTTCGTTCTCTTCCCCCTTCTCCCGTTGCTTGCCGGTCGCTGTGTATCTCAGAGATGCTAATGAAAAAATCGATTCTAATTCAGATGCAGCAGATGAATCATCGAGATTATCGCCTGGCACATCCATGTTGTTGTCTGTATCACCTCGGGCTTGGGAAGAAAATCCCTGCCGCTTGCCCCCATATCCAAACGAATTCGCATCGTTGTGTACCCTTAGCATGTGCTGAATTTGATCTATTTTGCTCATAAAGACTCTTTCACAAGTCGAACAAATATGGGATCGTGGCTTACTAAGGCTCGTACGACGCCGATACAATGTACGAATCCGAGGAATCCGAGGAATCTCTACGAGAGCCAATTTGACATCGTGCTCTTCGCGGTTAGAAGAAACTCTCTGCGTAGGCAGCTGAGAATAGTCTGCTTCTTCGTCGCTGTTATCAAACCTGCTAGTCGACTCCGTCTTGTTCTCTGAAAGCAGTGCATTGGTGTCGTCGACTACTTTGTTAAAGCCTAATCGTATTACTGTACAGTGGAATAGCGGAAGAAGAATAGGGTGGCTGACAATTAGTAGCATGAAATTATTTGTAACCCGCTGCCGTGGATATTTTTCGTTGAAATAGTTTTGGATCTTTGACAATAGCAGAATGATCGCACTGCCCGGCCTGATACACTTGTCAAGTCCGTGAATCACGCAGAACATTGTACCTAGTTCTGGAGCTCTGATAAGCGTAGAAAATACGTCCCATAGGATTTTGAACATCTCCGGAGTTTCTTCGAAAGGTCTTTCAGATCTTTGAGCTGCTTCGAGGTGTTCTTGTATTTCCTCTAATTGTTGCAAGCTGCGATATACAAGGTGCCTTAACACTGGGCGTTTAGTGACAATTTGGCTTATGAGCCCGTAGAGCACAATGGTAGATGTGTTGTTTGTATCTTTGCTTCTGTTGCAGAAGAAGAACACTAGTTCCGCGTTCTCTACTGCTGCAATGTGTCTCTCTAGCTCCTCTGTCAGGAATACAGAAAGCTTCGTCGCGTCAGTGCCTAGACTGGGTGAGATCCATAGCAGTCGGGAGTCCCTGTCCTTATCGCCTTCCTTACTACTATCCAGCCATTTACGGTAGCGATTGTCTTGTATAACCTGTTCGTATATACCAGGTGATAGTCGGCCTTTTGTAGCGATTGTACTGTGACGAGCGATAAGGGGATCAGTGAGGAGGAGCGCACGGCGACACCAAGTGGCTGTTTGCTCTAATGCCTCTACCGGATGGTGACGTTAGAAACGTTTGATAGAAGAAGAACCTGAGATACCTTTGGATTTTCTCCCCTGGTGTCTTTCGAGTCCGGTACGAACAATCTCGTCCATACGCCTTTCATTGTCTTCAAGAGAGTGATCGGATTGGGACTGATTATGCGCCATTGAATACTCCCTGTGCGAGGCCTTCCAGCAAGTAAGAATAAATGTTTAAATGTTCTTCAGAACAATTGTAGTTTAGTATGAGGGCAAAGGTGTTTCTATGAGCAGGCTGGATTCGGTGGTTGAAATGTGATCTAGGCACCAACGTACTAGCACAACCCCACCCGCAGCATCAGCTCAGCCTTCTCATCCAAGAACGCACAGAGAGCATTGCGTTAGTAAAAAATCAGATCTCTATCTATGGGAAGAAAAGGAATACACGAAATCTAAAGAAGAGTGTAGTGCTAAAACATACTCATTTCCCAAGTCCTGAGTTGCTGCAGAAAGGGGTCACAGTCACGTGATATGGACTAGATACCAGAAGTACTCAAGGATTTCTCAATCACAGGCTAGCCAACTCATGATATCCATACCACCAAAGCTCATCCCATGCACCCTCCTTATATCGCCCATGGCAGTTGTTGCATCTTCTTGTCAAAGGCGTTTCCTCGAAGCTTTCTCCTGGATTAGCTACTGTACGTCTTCTCAGAAGAACTAGCACGGCATATGCCCCAGCATCCACTCGGTTGAGGAACACGGATATGGAGTAAGTGATCTGAGGTCAACAATCTTTCTAATCACAATGTCGCAACTAGCACCGTCAAGTTCAGATCTTCCAGCTTACTTTTGTGACTGTTGCTCATAGCAGTGAGATCAAAGTCACATTCTTCATATAGTCCACCTATATTCAAGTGGGTGGTACTTAGAAGTATAAGTACATGCTTGTCTCGGATTTTCAGGTGCCACTTCACTCTAAGAAGCGTAGAATGCCACGGTAAAGTGGGTGATGTTAGGCGCATGTCGGTGTATATTGGCCCCATCGCATTTCTCAAGAACTTGGGGTAAACTCTGGCGAGGCTATGGCGCTCTGTAGGGGAGAGATACCTAACGATGCTTGCAACAACCTCGTCTAGAAGATGATCGAAGCAACTCATGTCAACTCTCAGTACTGAGACAGGTCTAGAGGACATGGTCTGGTTGTTGCAACAAGGTAGATTGAGAGCTGAAGCCTGAAACAGGGGTCAGACATAACGGATACAGCGATATATACGCACTAGGATTTACGGGGGTGTAAATGAGGAAGCAGAGTTCGTCTGTTAGTAATACGTCGATAATAGGTTAATGGCTCTACCGTGTAGTCCAGCAGCCGTCACAAATACGACGTGGGTGCCAAAACATTATATCCGTTTTGACGTGAGCCATGACAATTAGCTTCGGCAAAAAATACATGTATCATGAGATCTAAAACAGTCCATAGACCATTTAATACAGCTCCAACCGAAACCACATGTATGCGGTCGGTCCTTTCGGCATGCATCTTTTAGATCGAGGCGCAGTTAACAGCTGAAGCATACCTTTCCCGTTATAACATGCACGCTGGAGCCACCCGTGACATATGGCGCTATCAACGCCGCTATGATACGGAGTAGATTCTCAGGAAGGTTATGCTACATCATCAGTGCGGGTATTCCTACGATCGAACAAATAGACAACATCATAACCAACGTTCACGCTCAGCCTGCAAAAGTAAAGCCAAATACGTAGTCATGACAAGATCGAGAAGTCTCTCCCAGTACAAAATCTACAAAAGATATACCATTAAAACTCCCTGCCCAGTCTACCCTCCCTCTTGCCCCTCCAAAACAATCTACACATACGCATGAAACATCGATACCACGCCCATTCATTCTATCCCCAATCGCCAAACAACAGAACTAACACAACCTACACAAGCCCAAACCCCTTGGAACTCCTAATAGCCAACAACATCTTCCCCTCCATAACGCCCCTATCTCTATACTCTGGCAAATACAACTTCCCAAAGCACGTCGAGCTACTCGGCAGCGCATGCGGGGCGCCCCCAATCCGTGCAATATGAAAGGTAATACTCTCGTACCCCGTGACCGGTACGCGGTCCGACGCGGTGACGAATTCAAGTAGGTGCCTACGATCCTCTTGACTGTATCTTTCCACAATGTCCCAGAAGGACTGGATGGTGGGACTGGTAGCGGTGTAGCCTTCTTCGTATTTGGCGCAGCGTTTGAGGGCGGCGATGGAGATGTATTGGGATCCTTCGACGAGGGCACGGAGGGTGGTGGGGGTGAAGAGGTGCAGGCTTGCGAGTTTGATGCAGGATAAGAAGCCTTTGAGGAAGGAGGAGAGTTGCGGGGCGACGGAGTCGTGGGTTAGGGCGCGGATGTAGTCGCGGATGTATTGGGTGCGGTTTTGGTTGGTGACCATGGCTGGTTCTTCGTTGGGACTTGAGTTGTTGAAAGGGTGGTGGAGGTTATGGTCGATGCGCTGGCCGTAGACTTCGTAGCTGAAGACGTATTCGCGCATGAAGATGTCTTCGACATCGCCTTCGCTCCAGGATAGGAGTTCTTGGAAGCTGTCGGCTAAGGCTGGCCAGCCGTCTCTGATGTATTCTAAGGCATCTTGCTCAGTAGCATGGGTACAACGTGAACTGCCGTTAGTTTGGAGATACTCGTAAAAAGCCAACGGGAATGTGACCGGAAGCGTGATGCCATTGTAGACAGCGAGGCTAAACAGGATGCCAAGCATCTCAAATTTCCATAGCGGCTCGAGACTTTTGGGCTGAAACCAAGTCATTCTCGTTTGCGGGTCGATTGTGAACATGCCTTGTAAAGTTAGATTGTACCTTGGTTCGACTAACTCAGCAGGTACTTACCATGCTGAGGCTTGAATGCCTCACTGAGAATTACGCGGAAGAACTCATAGGTCACTCCGCCGTGATCGACACCAATTTCTCCTTCGCCATGGCCCATCTTTACTTTGAGTGGCTTGAGAAGCATTCTTTTGTCCTGACCCCACAGCTGATCAAGCGTGTCTTTTAGTGGATCTTCTCGACTGACATCCAGGACGAGGTATTCGCTAAGGGTAACCTTTAGACGACTCTTAATAACCCACCAATAAGGCTCTCGAAGAAATATTTTGAGTGATGCTTGCATCTGTTGAGTGCGCATAGTGTGGTCATAGTGCTTCATCATCTCTGAGAAGTTGATTGTGCGAAAGTATGCGACCAGATGCTGGGCGGAGAATAGGCAAGTATACTGCAGAATGTGTAGTGTGTTTGGCTTTTTCTTCCATGCGACAAATGCTGCAGGCTCGCTCACCGCGTTAAGGCGCTCGTTCAGGATGGGCATTTGGAACATTTTGGGGCGCAAGTTGAGAGACTGATATTTCGAATCTGGAAGTGTTAGCTTGCCCTATGGATTGGATTTCGGTGGCTTACGAAGACTATCCAGCATGACCACAGCAGTGCCAACACTGGTCCATTTGTTGATCTCAGCCTTGCTATCCCATTCTTTGATTATGACAGTTCTCAGCCATTCTACGAATGTGGCTGTCACAGTCCAACCCGGATCACTCTCACCGTCCTGATCGCGATTGAGTCTGCGCTTGTTTGCCAATGCAACACGCTCGACTACTTCCAAGTGATTTATAACAACATCCAGAAGTGACTGGCAAGTAGTCGGGGATTCTTCATCGCCGTCGCTCAGACTGTTGAGGATGTGTTCAAAGCAACGCCGCGTTCCAATTGCGCGACACAAGCGACTTGCAAGGCGTAACGCGGGCTCATATTCGAGTTCATCAATGATGTCCATATACGGATCTGTGAAAGTATCAGTGTTAGGGACCCCATGGGGTACAATGATACCCCACGATCGCAACTTTCGGATTTGTGCCCACGTATGCGGCCAACCTGTCGGCACTAAGGAGGTCAAAGCGTGTATGCATACTATGACAATATGAGCAGCCTCTTCAGTACTGAGATAGCGTGGCGAAGTCTCTGATTTACTATTGCTTTTGACTTGCCCTGACCGACTGCTAGGAGCACTCTTGATTAATGGTCTCAGACGAGGACTTTTGTGGAGGGTGAGTTTGGGAGGCGGCGCAAACAGGGCTTCCAGTGACAGGCACAAGCTATCAAAAATGAGAGCACCATTCCAGCGGTTCCAGTCTCGAAAAGATATAACCAATCGATGCGAGTCAAGATGTGGAAGAGGCGAGTCCTTGAAGGCTGCGCTGCTCTCACGGAAAGATAAGAGCAGTGTTTCAGCGTCGCTTAATGTGTAGAACAAGGATCGATTGATAATAGGCTTTGTTCGTCGGTTCGGACGACGGCCGTCGAAGTCTACGGCATAATTGAAGTGTGCAGGTCTTTTGTCTCCATTGGAGTGTATCTCTTCTTTGAGTTCGTCTAGAATGCTGCAGCTCAGACGGGAAAAGACAGGTATACTGTTGTCCGTTTGGTTCGAGCTTGCAGCATTTTCCTTAGGACTCTCTAGTGTCTTTGGGTTTTTTCTTGTATCATTCGTAATGGCTGGGTTCGCTCCTCCAATTGTAAAACTTTTTCTACCAGACTTTGAAATGGATAGCATGGTTGCAGCTGTTGCTCCGTCGGATGGAGTGCTGTCTATATCTGTGTAGGATTGACTTCGTGCTTTGCTATTTGGAGGGAGGTAAGGTATCCTGTGAATATGTTGACCGTTGTGAACAACTGGAACAGCTGGCTTGCCCGTTGCTGCCTTGTTATAGGCCCTGTGTGAATGTTCAAATTCCTTGTGGGACTTTGCATTCACATGTGCTAAACTGTCATGTTCGTTTGCAGGCATCAAGTCCAAAGTGGTGTTCCTGCTATGCCCGTTTGTCCTGGGGCTGTGTTCATTTTGGGGAGAGGCGTCATGGGAGGGATGTAGAGAAGCAAGTATGGAGGCGGAAGTGGGTATTTGTTTGGTATAGGAATATATCATGGCGAGACTGTCGTACAAATTCTGACCAAGCGCCTTTGGGTCCTTCCTAACCTGCTGCCTGCGCATGAGCTCGCTCACAGTGCTAACCTGCTCTTGCTGAGGTTGGTGACAGACATGCATGTCGCCTTGACCAATCCCAATACGTTTATCTCCATGCTCATGTGCTTGTTGCCCTGATGGAACATGCAGAGTAGAGTCTTTGTCCAAACCATCTGTCGACTTTACTGAGCTGCCGCCCAGTTCAAATGAAGACGGCGCTATGTTGAGGTCATGAGGACACAGCCCTCTCTCGGGGTCGTCTTGACTGGCAAGGTAGTGGGCAAGGGCGGTGGCAGTAAGGTGTGTAGGAGGACGGTGGGGCTTGGAGGGATTGCGCTTGTGGGACGAGAGGCAAGTGGGGGTAGTGCAGTAGGGGCTCTTACAGCCGTAGAGGATCTGGGACATGTAGCTGTTGTGGTCAGCGCATTGTCCCAAGGTGCACGAGCCGAGGGGGACTTACTGCCGCACAAGGTGCTGGAACTGGCGCTGGCGCTCCGTCTGAGAGCATTCCAACACCCGACGAGGGTCTTGCACCTCTACGACATTGCTCAATCGGGCAATGTCTAGGGCACGTGACGGACGCCTTGGCGGGTCTCCCAGCATCGCCGTGGATGATGCGGTTGAGTGGGAGAGGGTGGGCGGAGGGTCGGGCGGGTGCTCCGTTGCTTGTGACATGGCCATGTCATCAGCGGGTGCAACCATCTAAGCGCGAAAGAAGAGTGAAGACGATGGCCAGCAGTGGGCTGGTGAGTGTCATGGCGCGCTGGAGCGGTCACGTACTGGGCGTCTCATCTCAGACGAACAGGTCTCGACAGGCCGTAAGGCTGAGTAGCGGCCAGTGGGTTGGTCGCTCTTGCCATGCGGCTCTCACCCGCTGCAGGGATGCCATGTGCCCGCGGCTTGGCGCCACAGCTGATGTCATGGCCGTCCACTTCAATATTCGCCGCATCCCCCGTCGCTGCGCCCTTCCCACCAGCTCCGCCGTGACCAGCATTGCCCGCAGTGTCTACACCTCAAACACTGCCTCTGCTGCCAATTAATCAGCGCCGCATCATCCGGTTAGAGAATTTTGCCCCCCGGCCAGTCATAAAGGCCCTGACTCCATCCGCGCTACCGTTTCCCACACTTACCCCCACCTACTAAATCGCCTTTTATTTCTCCCCTCTCTTCTTGCCTCCCTCCGCCCCTCTGCCTGCAGTCACGCCCAAGCCCTCCAAAACAGCAGCAGACATGGCGTCGCAAGTCCCTACCCAGGCGAATATCCAGTCCACGCACCCTTTTACCTGCAACACATGCCAGGTCGCCTTCCGGTCCAGCGAGTTGCAGCGGGCGCATATGCAAACCGACTGGCATCGCTACAACCTCAAGCGCCGCGTTGCCTCCCTCCCTCCTCTGTCCTCCGAAATCTTCACCGAGAAGGTCCTCGCCAACAAAGCCAGCGCTGCCGCCACTGCCGCCAAGGCTTCATTTGAAAAGTCGTGCTCCGCATGCCAGAAAACATACTTTAGCGAGAATGCCTACAACAACCATCTCAACAGCCAAAAGCACCGCATGAATGTGGCAAAATCCGCAAAGGGTGCGCACGTGGACGATGCCGCGTCCGTGACCGGTTCCATGGTCAGCTCTGCCTTTTCTCTCGGAGAGTCCATGGCCGAGTCCGAGGCTACTATCAATGGCGATGCAGATACCGAAATATCCGATCTCGCCCACGTTGTAAAGAAGACTACCCTCAACGGTGAGGCTCCCGCGTCAGAAGAGTCTGCTGAAGCCCAAGACGATAAGAGCTCAGTCGCCGCCTCTACCAAGCCCGCTGCTGATCCTCTACTTGACTGCCTGTTTTGCAACTACAAGTCTCCCAATTTCCAGCTCAACGTCACGCATATGAGTCGATTCCATGGCATGTTCATACCCGAAAAGGAATTCCTTGTCCAACCAGAAGAGTTGATCAAGTACCTGCATGAGAAGGTGCATGTCTACCACGAGTGCTTGAAGTGCCACAAGGTACTCCACACTGCCTCTGGCATCCAAACACACATGCGCGACCGCGGTCACTGCATGATTGCCTTCGAAACTGAGCTAGAGCTTGTTGAGATTGGCGAGTTTTACGATTTCCGAAGTTCGTACCCAGACGCCGCCGACTTCAACGAGAGGGAGCAAGAGGCCGAGGATTCAGACGATTCTTCGTCGACCACAGGAGGTGGAATCAAGCTTGGAGCGAGACGCGAGACCAAGACGACCACCGAAGACGATGCCGCCATGTCTAGCAATGCTGAAGAAGATGAGGGCTGGGAAACCGACAGCACTGTTTCGAGCGTGCCCACCGATGAGATCACAGCTGTCCCCATCGACCGCAGCCACCGCCACAAGTCTCTCAGCAAGTCCAAGCACCATAGCCATGCCGACCCACGTCCGCATCGCGCAGCTGATGGCTTCCATTCGCACGCCCACCACACGCCCCAAGCTGTCTACTACGACGATTACGAGCTGCATCTGCCTTCCGGTCGTACCGCCGGCCACCGATCTCTCAACAAGTACTATCGCCAGAACCTCCGCAACTACCCTGGTGTAGCCGAGCGCATGGAGGAAGCCCAGCGCCGCGCTATCCCTGGTGCCCTTCCCGCTCCCGAAGACCAAGACGGCGACACCAACATGGAGGACGGTGCCGATCAGCAAGTCCAACTCCGTGGCCGCGGCCATGACGTCAAGCGCCAGCTTATCTCATCCCGCAACAATGGGCTCCACGGCATGACGGGCGTGACGGACGCGAAGAAGAAGGAAATCGAGACTGTGGAAAAGCGAGACCGCCAGAAGGAGCAGCGTGCGAGGAACAGATATCAAGCTGGAAATGAGCGCAGGAATAACCACCAGAAGCACTTCCGCGATCCTCTCCTCCAGTAGTTGGCGTCGTTTTTCTTTGGTTGGTCTGTGTTCTTTTTTATGCGATTTGGTCACGAGTTATGAGCATGATTGGCGTTTGTGATGGGCTAGGTGGGGTATGTTAGTTCGTATTGCTAGTGCTGATAGAGCATTTTTGCTCCCCCATCCTTTGGGATGTCTCAGCATTAAAAACGTGAGAATTGTTTTTTTGGAACATGGTTGTCGCCTATATATGCAAGTGATATTGGATGCTGCTGGTCACTGTCCTCTGCGCTGGCCATGAATTCACGAGAAGTATTGTGAAATATATGCACACGACAGAGGATGAAAAGTGATGTAGTCACTGAACTGTTGTCCACACATCTTTTTGCTACTGAACGGGTATGGATTGCATCAAGCCACGAGTCTTACTACGGAAGACACGAGTAACCTTCACCTTTACCTGCACTGTCTCATAGATAACCTGCTGGACGAGGAGCTCAAGCTAGAAAGATCTAGTGAATGAGCTAAATCCGCATAAATCAGATGATATATCTATTGCGCCAGAAGTCCTCGTCTTATACCCAGAGCACCAGACTATAGTTCCCGCCCAAGGGTTACTAGCAACCCTGTGCGCGTGTACACGATGAGCAATCAAGATAGGATTGAAACGATCCCCAGAATTGAGAGAAGTCTATCAGATCTACTGGGATATCTCCTGTCCATGTTCGTATGCTTTTGCGCGTCAATAGCCCAAGCTGATGACATGGTGAATGCCGTCTATATTCAGCAATGTCTCGGCGAAGTCGGTCTAATGTATAGGATTACCCTTCTTGAAACGCAAAGTGGAGTTGATGAGGGCGATGGATTTGGGATCAGTGTCGTTGTAAATAGGCGGAAGCGAAGGGTTTTCGTTTCCGAACCATATCTTGTGTTTGTGTTATCGTTTGCTCCACTTGAAGTACGCATTGAACGGGAACAGGTTCCGAGCGGGAGTTCTTTTCTGGGTGTGTGTGTGTGTGTGTCTCCATTATGATAAATATATCGAGTTTAGTTATGAGCAAGGTGTAAGCTGTTGAAAAGAAACATTGCCTTCAAAGCTCCATGACTAAGCAATTTGAGCGTTGAAGCTATGGGGCAAAGGGCTGCAAGCGATCTTCGAATAGAAGCTTCTTCGGCACTAAATCTTGTACCTTGCTTGCTTCAACAGCACAGAAGCTGAAACGGAATTTATTTTGACACTAAACTTCTCTCCATATTTAAACTTGATGCAGTGATTAAGCTACACAGTAGCACTGAGAACGGAACCATCTGGGCCTTGGTTTGATATTCCCACACTGTCCCATTGGTTTGTCTCTAAGCCCCAACCATGATATCTACTGCTCTAATCAAGGCAAAGCCGTTGCTCCATCACGCGCTGACCATGAAAGCTTTTTCAACTACACCACCGGGCGGATACGTGATCTGGATTTGGGCAACCTCACAGTTTCCAGTTCTATGAAACGCGTTAGCCCCACATTATTCCATCTATACCTGTTGTCACTTACTAATGTAAACAGGATTGATAACCTTTTTCCGGTAATCCTTTCGATGTCCTGGAACACAAGGTCCATAGGGATGAACAAGGCGTTGTCGCAACTAGTCATCCCAAAGAGCAGTCCTAGCTGTGTCCCAGACTTCCTATGCAATACTACGCTGCCAGAGTCCCCAGGTTCGAAGAATGGTGGATATTTTCCGTCCTCCATAACTACTGCAAAGCATGATGCAGGCGTCTGTTCCGTAAATCCATTGACTGCAGAGAGCTGCGCATCCGACTTGGGGTTGATGTAGACAATGGCAGGATTGATGGTTCCAAAAGTTATACCTGTTGTGCTTCCATACTTGGCAACGTCAATAGTCTTTCGGTTGGCATCGAAGGTTGACCATTTATTGCACCAATGATACGGAACCAGCGGTGATGCCCTTGGGGACAAGGTCGGAGGTAACATATCACCGACCTCGCGTAGCTTGATGTCATCGATGCGTATCAAAGCCCAGTCTAGAATCCATTGATCTTGAAATTGAAGAATCGTCCTCTCCTTGGGTTGCTCTGCCCTGGCGTCCAGAGCATACTTGTTGGCTGCAATAGTCCTGTGACCCGAACCTGCGTAGACATGACCAAGGTTGCGGCTCGCACGTTCCACATTTATTAATGCCTCTTCGTTTTCTTTCTTGAGAGTTTTGTAAACCTCTTGTCCCTTGGCAGCATAAGCTGTATATCTTTGGATCAATTGCTGAAGGTAGGCTTGGCGGCGCTCATGGTCATATGTCGAGGGAGATAGGACAGGTTGAGGAGCGTTCATCAGTGTCTTGTTATCGACACTCAGAGCTTTTTCCATTGTTTCTGAGATAACTGTATTGGATTTAACTTCAATAGCGATGCGGCTGGATGGAGTTATACTTTTATCAAGTCGATTGTCCCTTACACAGTGCCAGTTGGTAATACCGCACCTAACGCCGCCCTCAAGGATCACAGATCCTCCCAGAGTGCTGCAACTAGATGGGTCACCGGAAATGCCAATAGAAGAGCCCATAAACACGCGCTTCTCGTACGATGTGCCATTGACGTGGATCGAAGACTTGTACTTCTTTCTGCTACCCAGAAGTGACTTGCCACAGAGAATTTCGACTTCAAAGTCAGGGGCGATATTCGCGATAGCAGCTGATATTGCCGGCTTTATGGTCCTAGTCCACTTCGGGTTGCGCGCAGTCGGTGTTGTGATCACGATGGTCGGGGGACATTCCTCAGGAATGTCGCTGAAACCACGGCGTACCATTTCCAAGGAGAGCCACTCGTGCTCTTTCAACAGATCCAACACAATTGGCGCCACAACTCCTTCCCACCTCTCAACAATTTCTTCTCTATTGCGGCCAATAGGGAAAGTATAAAGACAGTATATGACGCGGCTATCAATGACCTCGATTTGGACATTTTTCCTAGCTTCGTACTGCTTGAATACCGATCTGATGTCAATAATAACTCTGTCAACGGCATGCGATTATTCGGACATGTTAAAGGTGCAAAGAAAGGTTAGATACGGTGAAAGATCCTCCTCGTCTTCTGGTGCATCGAGAGGAACCCTGTAAACGAAGCCATGTATTCCGTTCCAGATATCTTGAGCCTGTAGGATGGTATCTGCCTCTTCTATTCTCTCCATGGAATCTGGAATTGCCGCTCTAGCGCCTTCGCGAACAATCTCGACAGGTATAAGGGGTAGAGTTGGCCACCCAGCACGGTAGATCAGCCCTCCTTTGTCCATCTCGTCTCGGATCTCTTCGTCTGAGCGAGATAGATATTGCTTTGCCATTATGAGTTTGTGTTAGAGCTTAAAGTAGTATGAGAAGAGAAGATACAAAAGGTAAGAGCTGTATGCTAGCACTATTTAAGTGTACACTAAAGGTAGTTCCTAGTAATATACTGGGAAGCAAAAACCTTTGTGGGCTTCAGGTAGCCGATCCACGGTTAAAGCGCCCATAGCACCTACCACTATGTGTCAGTGAATCATCTTAACCAGATTTTTATTCAGCCTTCCAGGGTGAGCGTATTACTCCGCATAGCAATTTTGCACCAGGGAAATATCTCCCAAGAACTATTCCCCGTTCAGCGGTGGATTGATGCTTTTTGAGTTTTTTCTGCACTAAAACTCGAAAATCCCTTTTTATATTCTCAGCAAATAAAGAGAAATTCATTCGCATATTTAGCTATTTTTGAGTGACTGGATTATATTTTATTTTTGGGTTTAGATAGAGAGATGTCTGAACTCCCAAGCTGATATGAAGTATTCCCATTGAAGTTCGTGAACAGAGTGTGTGTGTTAGTAGTTGTTTCGCTGCATATTACACAGCTGGTTGATTACGCAGAATGGCAGCTGGCATCCTACCAGCCGCCTTGCCACGATGTGTCCGTTGCAGCCCCCTGCTCTGTCCTATGGCTTAGCACTATGACGTCGCGCGTATACTGGCATTGCTGCGAGACAGAGGAAGACTATCACCTATACCCGACCTGCACAACCGCAGCCGGAAATTACGTACCACACTCTCCACATAATGAAGCGACGAGCGTCTGATGGCAACATCGGAAAGGTACTCAACCACAATTCTCGAGGTACCGCTAGTACACTTAGCATGTGTATACCAACATGGAAGCCACCGTTGCCGGTATTAACATTGTCTAAGCAGGCACTGCGCTCTGTTGACCAACAAAGCCACGAGCACGTCTACATATGTACTTCTACACATACCTTCCAGTGTCCCGGTTAGCAAACTTGGGCGTTTATCAGATGCTGGCTCAACTACATCGGACCTAAACATGAGTCACTAATGGCTCCAACACCTTGGAACACGACCCCTAGCAGTCATCACAGCTCTAGATACTAGATAAGTACTCCAGATACCAAGGCTACTAAGGCTAAGCCATGTTATGAGAACCATAGGGCAACTTTTAGAAAGTGTAGTTTAAACAAAAATGCCTAAGAAACGTGAACTTACTGTATATGCTTAACATGGTGTCAAGTGGGATTACCAACCCTGTGTTGCACAGTTGATACTTAGGCTGTTAAGTAATGGCAGGTTGTGGAACGAAGCACAGGACAGAAGGTAAACCCCTACTCTCGAAGGAGTATGGCAGAATCAGTTCGGTATCGAAGTGATACGAAGCTGCACAGGACATTCAAATCAAGTTCATTGAAGAGCGCGTCATATACGCTCTTCGCAGTTTCTCTTTCCGTCACAATAACTCAGACATTATGATAAGAGAGTCAGGTACGGTGAAAGATCGTCGGTCTCTAGTGTATCGCGAGGAATTCTAAGGATGAAGCCTATACCGGATTGTAGACACCTTGAGCCTGTGGTAGCATAGTGTCGGATTGCACGGAAGAAGGCATTGATTTCGCCTTGGAAAATCTCGTGCGGGAATTTGACAGTGACAATGAAGAAGATTATGCGAAAGTTGGAGGTATCTGTTGCGGTGCGGTTGCGAGGTCTTCGGGGAAAGCAGGAATGATGGAGAATGGTGCGGAATTCGCTGTTACACGGAGCGCTGTTTCGAAGTCGTGTAAATGTGAGATTGCGTTGGCGATTAGCAAGACAATTCGGGCTCCTGAGTTGCGATCTTGTGATGAGCTCAATGTGAAATTGAGTCAAGAGATGATTATGCAGGGCAAGACATCTTCCTTGCGCGCATGTATATTTCACCCTATATTTGGTGTGAGGGAAGACGATTTATCTCGAGGGTGAAACTGGTGGCGATACCGAAGTTGTTACTGTAGCCGCTGCGTCGTGAGCAATGTGGATCTGGGGATTGTGTGGGGCCTGTTGTGACGCTGATACCGCTTGCTATGATGATCTGCGAAGAGGTCAGCTTGAAATCCTTCGTGCTGACAATTTGGATGCCCCACATCGAAGGTAGCAATACTGAATGGGTCTAGTCGTAATGTTTACTACAGTTCTAGATTTCGCTGTAAGAACATTGCCCCGGGTGTCGTCCGGCTGCATAATGATCGTATTCTTTTCATCTACCCCCTTGTTACTCTTCTGATTGTCGAAAGACATAGTGATGCCCCTTTGATCTTGGCGGCGCCTAACAAAGCACCATGTCTACCACACCTGATAATCGACGGATACTGGAAGAGTCATGATGAAGGCACCAGTACGAGAACTGCGGGAGAACCGAAAGGATTGTGTTGGGAGATGCCACACGGCATCACTTCGGCAGAAAACCCGGATCAGAACCGAGACGCGAACGCAAGGTAACCTGCCTCATATGGAAGTCCAGTGGTTTGATCCTCGTACATGCGTTCGAGTGGTTGGAGCGGGTGGAACTGATGTCTGCGATCCGAACTGAATGCGTGACATCGAAGTCGGGAAGATCAAACGTCTACGATGCCACGAGATATGTGAAGATTGCCAAGATAAAAAGACCGCGCGGCCGACTTGGAGATAAGCAGGTGATGCCGAGGTATCCCACTGCGTCGGCGTACAATGCCGGAGACTGATGGATTATGAAGACCCAAAGAGTTTGCTCGCCTCGATCCGGATACTTATGTAGAGCCGATTAGGTTCGGAAGCTTAATTGGGGTAACGCGATTACCATAAACGCGGCACGGCAGATGGCACGGCTAGATCGTGGTCTGTTACCCGTTTTTACATTGCGTAGTTGTGCATTTTTGTCAGAAGGAAGACTGCCTTAGATCTAGGGCAAACATCCTTAACAAAGCGTTCCCGTTACGAGGGGAAGTTGTAGTCTGTTTGACGATAGACAATCGAGCAAGCAGTGCCATGCACACTGCTAGGCATACCAGAGTCGATTTATCACCTTCCCCACATGGGGACGAACGAAGAATCCTTCCTCGCGTACGTAGGAAATTTGTGGGCGCTTTCGATACGAAGGTGATACGCGGCGTTGTGGTTTAGAGAACTTTGTTCTAGGTTGATGATGAGACGGGCACAGGGGGGCTAGCCGCATGTGGGGATTTCCCGCTCCGCCATTGGCCCGCATCCGCTAATGCAATAACTATATTTGTATTACAAACTTGCTAGCATGAAGGGGTGGGGAACGAGGGCCCAGACTGCTACATACTTACTAGACAAAGGCGCATCGACTCATGGCTGTGCAGCAAGAAGGATTCTGCTCGGGGAAAATGGGATATCTTGGCTGGGATATTAGACTGTGTCGGATATATACAGGTGAGTAACTCCATGCTTCGGGGCCGTATCGCCTATCATGATCCTTGGACCATGGACAAGGCCTCCCTCGAGGATGTTCACTCTCCCCACTCTCCCAGCTCTCTGTTCAGCGGCCGCGCGACGATTTGCCCTCGTGAGACCCGTGTCTTACATACGTCTTCGTATCTTCCCGGACTGGCCCGCTACTTAATCTCACTGCATGTCAGATGTGTAAGATCTTGTGCTTGTTCGGTACTTGGGAACTGGGATACTGCCATAGAATGGCGTTACATTATCTGATTTCTTGGCATGTAACCTGGGCATTCGGACTAGTTGTTCTCCGCACGAATAGTGGTCGCCCACCTCGCCTTAGGAGTAACGCTTGTATTGCCTATTCCAATGTTAATCGTGCTTGGCCATATACGCGCGGGGGATAACGCAATGCCCCCCAGCAAGAGGCTGAAAAGCTTGGATTTCGGCGACGTTTACCTTACATACCCCTGGAAGTTCCTAAGGTCCAAACCAGGTGCTACATGATGGGGCTCCCCCTCTTAGTCGCGCCTCGTATACCAGCCTTTCGGCCTCTTTCTCATCAACGGGCTTCTTGTTGATTTGTTTTTTTCGCTCCATGGTATATGACAAGTCTCGATAATGACTACATCTGGATGCACAGAAGATACCCTTCGAGGCACCGCCATCGGCCTCATGGTCGTCACGACCATCACAATATGCTCACGAGTTGTGCTGCGCGTCGACAGGAATACTATTGTACAGTGGGACGAAATATGGTTGTTCTTCGCCTACCTATTGTTCATGACAGTTACGTCCGTCTACATCAGCAAAGCCGGTGTTCTGTTTAGGATCCTGGACGTACAAGAAGGAAGACTTGCCCCTTATCCCAGCCTTGACGAAGACGAGTTCCACGCGCAAAAGACATTCTTCTTCACCAACCCGGGACTATGGTTCACGCTATGGAGCATCAAATTCTCCCTGTTGGCTTTCTACAAGAGAATTATGGCTGGCATCAAGTCGTACGAAAACTGTTGGTGGGCGGTCCTAAGTTACTGCGTGATTGTGAGTTTCAATTTTCCTCGATGTGCACTTTGCCGGCCATGAACTGACCTGAGAATCTAGTCTCTGATTGTAGTGATCGCCTTACATATTACTGCTTGCGGACCAAGTCCTTCATTCTGGTTTGATCAAGGTGGGTGTGGCCCTGATGATGCTCGCCAGCCCTTGATCAGTTTTTGGGCAGGCTTCACAGCCGACCTCACAACAGATCTCATGAGTAAGTTCATTCTGCTCTCAATGCTCTTGAGCAATGCTAATCGTCTTTTTTTTTAGTCATGATCCTTCCCATTGGTGTTATAAGAAATCTCCGTATACCCGCAATGCGCAAGATGCAAATATGCGCTCTGTTTGGGCTGGGTCTTTTCGTCGTCATTGCCAGTATCGTCCGTGTGATTCAGGTCGGCACAACCATTGGCCCAAAAAGAACGACGCCGGTTGGGACGTGGCTTGCGTTGTGGAGCATAGTCGAATCGTCTGTTGCTGTTATCGTCGGCTGTGGTCCAGGGCTATATCGAAAGGCGAAGTCCGTCTCCAGTAGCACTCCATCATACGCCTACAATAGCCGCGGTTACATCAAAACATCGGACAGTAGAAGGGCAAACGCTGAGAAACACTTAGGAGAGATGTATGAACTACCAATGAAGACGGAAATTTCTGGCCGTTCTAGTGAAGGAAGTAAGGAGGATCTGATAGAGATTAATGAGGCTGGCAAGATCACGGTAACAAAATCTGTTACAGTTGATTGAATGAAATTAATGTGTGCATCTTCACAGTTGATAGAATTGGAAACTCAGAGCAACTAGCTATAGCCATATAGGATCAGCATTCGCCACAACGAATTATTCATGATGACCATAGATATTGGAAAGCGTACCAACTCCGATGCTGAATACGCCAGGTTGACCCAAAACGTCCAGCTATACTCACGGATGGTGATTCTGCTGTCCTTGGAGGGCATTAGGCATCGCCATAATAGGGCAGCCACTTTACAATTCTGCTCATTGAGAGAGGCAGCTGCTCACAAAACAAGTCGCCAAGGTTGCTGTTGGCGAACGCCGATCGACTGCTCGTGTCTCATTGATCAGGCATTCCATATCATCCCCTGGCCCACCAATCCCACAATAGTTGAAACAAATCGATCTCGTGAACTTCGGCCGAAAGATGCTTGTCCATTGTCGGAAATTACCCTCAACACGACCGGGGTAGCATAAATCGCATTCGGCTTTAGGAATGATCCTACAATCTTTGATATTAACTCTTCGCATGTATACATCAACTCTAAGATGAATGGCGCGTTAGCAATACTTCGGGTTTCTTGATATCACCTGAACTTGACCTCAAAGCCTTGCGAAGAAATGTCAAGATCGTTCCAAGGTGCCTCGCCCAAAGCAGATAACAGGAAAGCCCGTGACAAAAATGAATAGGAAGACTTTGCGGGGTTGTTTCGCAACTGGCGAACAGGTTGCGTATATTCTTCCACACTTTGTATAGGCAGCGGCGAGGCTTCATTAATGTCAGACAGCCGTAACCCAGCACATATAATATACATATACAGTCGAAGGTCCCGCTTATTTGCCTCCAACTCTTTTGTTCTTAAGCTTAATCGTCTCGCCGTTGACAAAAATACCCTTGCCTTTGTAAGGTTCTGGTTTTCTCCAATTCCTAATTTCTGCTGCAAACTGCATGACCACCTCTTTCTCAGGGCCCTCTAGTAATAAGCGTGTCGGCTGCGGTGTGCTTGCGGTAACTCCCTTGGGTATGCCCAGCTCGACTGGGTGAGAGTATCCGACCTTCAGATTGATGAACTTTTGACCGGGGTATTCTGAATTGACAGTGGTTGCGCTATCTTCGACCGAGGCACGGAATCCAACACCAACGAAGCGGAGAATAGCGCTATGGCCTTCACTCACACCAAGAATGTGATTTTGGAGGTATGCGCGGGTGGTACCTGTTCATGTATTAACAATTTAAGGAGCTTAGAAAAGGTATAGCATTCTTACCCCACATGGCTCTTTGCTTCGCATCTGTCGCATCCTCAATGGAGAGTGTGGGACCATTCGGGCTCGCATCTTGGTTGATGTTGATATTGATATATGGAGGAATATCCATTGAAAGTTCACCAAGAGGTCCTTTGATATGTACTGTAGACATGGCCTGTATGCGTGATCCTTTATCTCTTGCTGAAGGTGCGTTCACCTTGAAGGTGACGCCCTGGGGTATCGAGAGCGGCGCAGAGCCGATCTTGGACTGGCATGGTGCGGTGCTGGTAAAGGTTCTTTGCTGCGACGGTCGCGAGAATGCGGGTAATAGAAAGGTCGGTATCGCGTCGGCGGGTTGAATTGGTGCCTTTGCAAGGCTTCGGGCGCACCGTTGTCGGACTGGGGCGAACATCTTGTATCACTACTGGTAACAACTCCCGCGAGAATTTCGGGAAACCGCAACTTAATGCTGACTCATCCAATCCCCATGTCTCGTGATAGCGCGTCATCGGCGGGTCTGATTGGCTCGCTCGTCAGTACCTTCCTCTTCTTGTCCCATCTTGGAACACCACAAAACTTGCATTTCTCTTCTGTAAAGAATGCTGTGCATCACAACAGTCGATGCTGACAGTGATTTGAACTGCGTGTTCTCATCTTCTGACCACGGCTGTTCTCTCTCTCTCACTGGCCAAAGGCGCTCACACTACAGATTTGCCCTCACCCGGATATCACAGAAAGCCTGGATGCTTTGGCACGCTGGCCGCCAACCTTCTCCTGCTCTCTCACTATATGGAGGGCAACTGAATACACCATTGGAGTCGTTTGTGGTATATCCTGTCTCTCGCCCTCTTCCTTTCTTCCGTTCTTTCTACTTCGGTCATGCATTGTTTCGCTCACGGTTTTGCCATCATCTCCACTACTATGACCACCCAACAACAAAGGCAGTTCCTTAATCTTTGGGCCAGGGTCACTTTTGCGAAGCTGTTCATCTTGGGCACCTTCTTCCTTCCAAAGGCACTTGCCAATTATCACACCCCGCTACCAGACGCAGCACCTACTATCGATGTCAATTCACTCCTCCAACACACAACATCCAGAAACCAAAAGGTGATCACACAAGCTCTTGGAATCGTATCGTCCATGCAGAATGCACCTACATGCACCCAGATGGCCGCTTCGCACCTGATGAACGAATGCAAACTACTGGAGCATGCGCCCGAGTTTACGAAAAGTCGACCGGAGGCATACCTTGATAAAGTCAAAATAGAATACGCAGCCAAGCTAGCTGTTTGCGAACTACTCAGCACTCAACCAGTCAATTCAGTTGCGCCACCGCATTGCGACATACTCGTTCCAGCTGCTAAGCATTGTGACAAAGGCGGTAGCTGGTGGCATGCTCGACCAGCGGTGGTAACTGAAGACAGGCAGTGCTACCCTAAGTTCAAGGAATACCAGTATATGCAATGCCTCAAAAGCCTCCAATCAACGCCTCAGTACTGGACGTCATTTAGCAATGCCCGTCAGAATGCAGTTGTCATGTGTCAAGCAAGTAGAGACGCCATTGAACGAGAAAACCACTTGGAAGTTTTCAAAAACCTGACCAAGGTTGTTGGTGGTGTTACTGAACACATCCATAAGACAACAGTAGAATACGAATATCTGATCCGCGAACAGAGGCAGTACGCTGAGGAAGCGCGGAACTCGCACGAAGAGCTTAAAGAAGACATCCAGGCGGTTCGAACGACAGCAGTTGCAACGGTGGAGGCGATAGACAACAAATTCCACGCCTTTATGGAGTCTTCGATCTCGAACCTCATAGTAGCGCTGGCTACCAGTCAGAGCAAAGAGATTGATCAGATACATGAGAGAATGTATGAGTTCTCGCAACAGTTGATGTCGGAGAGTTCACAGCTTGCTAATTACTTCAACGACCAGCTGCAGCAATACCATGAAGGTGCTCTGTCTAGTCTACAATCCCATCACGAAGCACAGGTGCGCAGCTACGTGGTCTTGTCAAACCACATGGGTGTTACCCAAGACACCATCAACAAGACAAATCAAGCCGCCGACCGCTCTCTCTCCAAAATCGACAGCATCGCCCAGCGACTTGACATCTTTGAATCACAAACTAAGCACATCGCTGAGGGCTTTGCTTTCCTCAGCGCCATGCCGACGTTCGTCAAATCGCTTGTACACAGATTAGTAGCTACAGCTGGCACCATTTTCACGTTCTTTGTCCTCTTCAAGCTCAACATGAGACTCGCTCTATATACTGTTGGCGCATGCAGTTGGGCTTTCCTCTTCTACATGAGCGGTGCCTTACACTGGCTTGCATCACCGTCATCACACATGCACAATACAGAAGCTTTCAATCCGCTCGCCATTCTCGACAACGTGTCATCGTGGCAAAAGGTCAAGGGCATGCTACTCCTATTGTGGTTGAGCGCATATCCCATTTGCCGGCTCAACATATATCTTGGCGGCTTTGTTACCATGGTGCTCCGACAGCTTGCAGGAATAATCTGGTTGGACGGGTACAGCAATGAGGGCGGGACTGGGTATCTCCCGAGCATCGAAATCCCAGCGCCTGTGGAAAACGTTCCGCGCAAAGGCAATTTCCCAGGCACCCGGCAGCTTAACTGGCCGGACTAGATCTGCAAGGCGTCTGGTTGAAGCATTTCTGCTATTCAGAATTTATGCGAGTGATACAACAAATCAACAGCTTTTTGTCATCTTGAAAGACATATCTAGGGCAACTGATGGTGAAGGGAGGATGCTTATTCACTACTAATTTATGAAGAGGAGAAAAACCTGGGTTAGGCAGGGGATATATCTTTTTTTCCAAGAAGTATTTCCAAAGACAACATCGTTATGCAGAAATCGTCACATTTCCATTCTCAGCGTAGCCTCTCACAGGCAGGAAGAAGAGGCAAAATATGGAGGCATCATCTCATATGATAATCATAATATATTTTCTGCACATTTTCAATTTGACAATGCTCACTCGATCTAATCCTCGTCGTCAGGCAACTCCTCTATACGTCCTGACCGATACGCCTCCTCAACCGGATTCTGTACATTCATAACGCCCGTGGCCTTGAGTCTGCAATTCACCATTAGCAAACCCTTTGTACAAGCAAGGACAAGAGAAAACATCAACATACCTTTCAAACAGTACAAACAGCCGCTCTGCCTCCCTCTCCTTCTCCTCCTGTGTCATGGGCTCCCGCGGCACCTGCTCTTCCTTGTCCAATCTCTGCCCCGTAATAGGGTTGACCGGAATCCCGTTCGCGATGTCCTGAGGCGCATTGGACTTGATGACTTCCTCGGGCATTTGGATGTTGTTCGACATGAGATATCCGGATGCAAATCCATAACCGACGTTATGAACGAAAGTCGCAGGGTCCTTGTGCGAGAGTTCGAAGAGCATGGATGAGATTGAGCCGCGGAGGGTGGAGGTGTGGGCGGAAGTAGATAGGTTGAGGAGGCGTGAGGGGAGGGTGTCTGATTTTCCGAGGGGGCGGTCGCGTTCTTCGGTTGTAGGGAGAATCATCTTTTCCATTGTTTTTTGGACTTCGGTTGGGGCTATTTCGTAGAGGCGGCGAATGAGGGTCAGGAGGGGGGTTATAGTGTCGTCTAGGTCTTTGGGCGGGTAGGCGATGATGGCTTTATCAAGAGTTTTGACTAGGTGCTCGGCGTTGCGTTTGGGATCGTCTGCTGGGAAGACTGCTTTTTTGCCTTCTTCGTCTTCCAAGTCCAGGTGTAAGAGCGCATTCACTAGTTCTCTTGCAGGGGCTGCGAGGGGTGGCTGGACGGTGCCACTCAGAACCAGGATTTTGAAAACACTGGGTATTGACTTTGAGAATTCGGGGCTCAGGTCTTTGTGGAAGTGGATGATGTTGAAAACGAGCTTGAGAGTTTCAGACAGAGCCATGAGCTCCATGGGTTGGCGTGGTGTGGGGGAATATCGGTTTGCGTGCCGTTCTATTGCGGCGTTGATACTCTCTGCTAGTTGGTTCTCGCGCACGAGCTGTGTGTAGTCCAGTTGTGCATCGTAGGTCATGAGGAAAAGTACGCGCGCGGCAAGGAATTCATCGTCAACACTATCGCTCTTGACGGGAGTTAGTACGGTGTTGTAGAATGAACAAAAGGCCTATATCTTGCCTTTAGCTTTTCTGCTGCATGCGGGCCATGGCCCAGGTCGACTAGGATCTGGCGCGTTTTCGGGTGGAGTAGCAATGCGTTGGCTATGCATCGGAGTGCTTCTTGCGATGCTGGAGTCGTACTGCTTTGGAATGCATATTGTCCTAATGTTTGGAGGCCCTGCTGCGGTCATCATACTGTTGGTAACAGACTGGACGGAGGGCGTACATCTTGGGTAAATATGGGGTCAGAATTGTCGACTGAGCGCCCATGTACCTTGAGCTGCTCGAGCAGATTTCTTCTTTCTGTCTAGTCGGTAAGTAGTCTTGCTTGCCATGCGCTGCGGAGAATCGTACGCTCGACCGAGAGTTTGTTTGCGTCGAGGTCGGTCTTGAGCTCGGCGAGAATGCGAGTGACGTCGTCAAGTTTCGCTGGCAAAACAATTGATTAGCAACAGCCAGGCGCAACAGCACTCGGCTTCTTGTTGGAGCATTACACACCCTTTCCTGTCTTTTGCGACAACATGGCGATTGAGGCGCGGGGTGAATGCTAGAAGATGAAGCGGCGGGTAGCATAAAAGGTCCAGGGCGGGAAGCCCCGCCAGGGACATCAATGCGACCGACTAATAACAATGGTTACTGAGGGACCGTAACCAACTAGCTAAGAATCACTAATTCGACGATCCAAACCAGAGACAGACAAGTGCACGCGAGACACAACCAGCGCCCTCACGTGCGTCTGGTGTTTTGCAGGGGGCGGTCGTTGGCTCGAGGGTCCGTCTCCCGGTGAATGGGGCACTTCTGCCACTTTACGCGGGCGCGTCCCGCCTAAACGCGTCGCCAACACCAGCCTTTGCATCTCGAACCGGGGCCAGTCGATCCCTCCCGACACGACCACTTGCTCTATACTTTTCATCGCGCGCACGGGGACGGCCATGTGAATGCGGTCTCGGTTTCTTTTTGCTTTCTCTCTCTCTGTCTCTCTCGTTGCCAGTTGTTTCCAGCATAGCCATGGTCTTGTCCAAATTCGATGCCCTTTCTGTTCGCCCGCCAACACCACCCAAAGACCAGGAAGACACTGGCGTCGACGAGACACTGCAGTTTCTCGAGGATCCCTTTGGAGAGCAGCCTGTCGCGCCCAGGATCAAAGTTGTAAAGGCGCCAAACACGCCAGAAAAGTCGCCTTCATCCGATATCGACGTTCCCTCGAGCGCGGCCAGCGCGAGGAAGAGAGTCAACTTCGAATTGCAGACATGCGGCAACATCACCAACAAAGCCCTCGCACACTCCTGGACCCCCACACGTAGCTCGCCGCTCCGCCCACTGCCCCAAACCCGCCTCACCAAGCCGCTCAAGTCAATCCTCAAACCCTCGGACGGCACCCCAACGCCTCCACCTGCCGACGACGCGGTCGCCGCACACAAGTTCAAGTCCTTTGCCGAGATGCTCGAGTCTATTGTGAAGCTGCTTGCTTCATCAGAGCGGTCGTCGCGCTTGGATGCATACAAGTCGCTGGAGAGGACCATGCAGGCCTACGACAAGATTCCAGATGAGCAGGCTCTCAAGCAAAAGATGTCCTTGCTGACCCAATTCATTCGCCGCGACTCTCAGGCTCCCAGTATGACTGGCACGGGACTGGATTCGCAGCTGGTTGGACAAGCACTGAAGTTGCTCATGGCTCTATTCCGCATCCCGGACCTCCTATCTACCATGGACGACGACTTTTGCTCCTTTATCATTGAGCGCATCATTCGCATGGCTAGTGATAGCACTATACCCAAGGCCATCGTTAATGTCCATCTTGCTGTTCTCATGCAACAAAACTTCCGGCCCAAGATTGTGACCGTAGCCCGTGTTGAGAAAGCTCTGGACGCGCTCGACACCATCCACGAACGTGTTTCCGGCAATGCTGTGCAAGCCTACAGAATACGCATATATCGAAAGTTTATCCAGCAACGACCGGACGTTATGATCAAATACACTGAGAGATGGTTCACATATACTCTCAAAGCCCTGGTGTCAACCTCGAAAGACATCAGCCAGAGTGCCCTCGATACTACTGTGACAGCCGCAAAATCCATTGGCCACGACCGGAACGTTGCCAGATCCGTGTTGGTTGTGTTCAACCGTACCAAGAGCGATGGTGGGACTATCGCGGGCGTCTTTACAAAAGAGTTGGGCCGGATGCTGGAAGGCGATCACGCTGTGTCAGTGCCTCAAATATGGGCTGCAGTCACAGGCCTACTGAAAGACTCGTTGAACGGCGACATGTTTACCGCAATGAAGGAATGGCTCGAAGTTTTTCAATCTTGCGTCTCTTCCGAAAAGGAGCAGGTCAGGATTCACTCAAATGTGGCTTTCTGCTTCCTCCTCTATTCTGTCAATCTAGGACCAAATACCACCGAAGCATGGTCAAAGATGTTCCTGAGCATTGCATTGCATGCGCTACAGCGGAGCACATCCGCCAAGAAGTCCGAACGAGCTCCAATCTCATCTAGCTACTTCACCTTGCTATACTACGGGCTTCGCCCCACAGCTTCTTTTGCACAGCTTGACCGATATTGGAATGAATTTGTGGCTTCTGTTTGGAACCCATTGATTCATTCAGTCCCAGGCCAACATGCCCTCCCTGCATGTCGGTTGGTATCTGCTCTGTTAGGTGGCTCTCGGAAACCGTGGAATGAATGTCGAGCACTGGACCTCAGGCCACAGTATATGATTCAACGCGGTGAGCTACCTCTAGTCGACCCAAGATGGGTTCGGAAATCAATTGCCCGGGTACTTCGATTTGTTGAAACTCTTTTGGATGCTACTCTCTTGACTGAAACCAAAGACCCCGAGGATGAGCCCGTCAAGGCAATGTGGCTCTCACTGATCAGCTCACTTGTTGAAGCAAGTAGCAAGGAGATTATGGCTTCTACGGAGACCAAAGATGCCATGGCGCAGATTGTCAATTTGTTGCGTCGAATCTGGGATCGACATACTGCAAAGCTGGCGGTACCGCAGAAAAAGGAGGATATCTGGGCAGACAAGTTCTGCTTCCTGATAGAGACTGTTATACAGAAGATGGGGCCTTTCCAGTTTGCGGACAAGAGTCTTACTCGCAACGACAAGAACGAATTCGAGGTGGCATCAACACCATCCCACAGGTCACGAAGTCATAGTACGCGTACATCACCACTTCTCTATCTGATTGATCTGTTGATCACTCAATCAGAGGGCAAACTTGCTGACCCTGTTCGACTCCGCGTCATGGAAGTCATTATTAAGCCTTGTTTTGCGGCTCAGAATACTCGACTAGGGAAGCTGGAGCTTTTGCGGGACTGCGCTGCGACTGTTGGTGGTTCACTCAAGGGTGCCGTGTCATCAAGCTTTTGGGCTCAGATTTCTAGCTTGCTAAATGCAACACTGAAAGAGTCCGTGGTCGCATCCAACGAACGTGTCCTCGGTCCGCTTGGGAAGGAGTACGAGACTGTTGTTGAAGTCCTGGGCTTGGGAGCCGACTCGTTGATGAACAAACCTTGTGGTTATGAGGTGTTGTCAACCCTTATCGACACAGCCCGACAAGAAGCTGGAGAGGGTGCACTCATCCTAGGCGTCATCGAAAAAGTATCCGAATTTGTGGTGAAGCGCGTACCCGAAGAAGAACAGTCTTCTTGCATCCCGTATGCAAGCATATTGCTCCGTAATCTTCCTAAGCAGATGAGTCGCAAACAACTAGATCAAGGCCGGCAAAACCTGTGGCCCTCAAATCAATCCACCGGACGTAACGCAGATTTCGATCCTTACATTCATCTATATGGAGCCGTTGCTGCTGTCAGCGCGGCTGCATACCGGGATGTTAACAGAGATGATGTTGAGTCAAGGAAGGATTTCCTATCTGCTCTAGCCACGTCAATCCAACACTGCCCAACCTCTCAACTTGCTGTGTATCTCCGGAAGATGCAAGACTCGATCACAGCTTGGATTGAAGACCCCGAGGAAAAGATGCAGAGCAGAGACGAACCGCTGAAGAGTCTTCACCGTGAGGTTGTCAGAATGTGGCAAGAAGTGAGCAAAGCCGTTGAGAGGTTACCAAGGAGGGACAGCCAGACATTGCTCCACCTAGAAACCTTGATCACTGCAGGCTTTGTCAGTAGGCGACGAAGTATCGTCAACATCTCCATTGGGACCTGGAACAGCACCTTTGGAAAAGAGGATAGTCTACAATATCCTGCTAATCTTGAACAAGCTTTGCGTCGTCTGCATGGCAGTGTGGACCTTTCGTTGCCCTCATTGGAAGCTCGAAAGGAGGATGCCGTAAGTACACATTTGATGTTTAGCGTACTCCAGCTAACTTAGGAGCAGATGCTCCAGCCTTCATTCTACGAGTCTGACACCAGCACTGATGATATCAAACGACCGTTCAAGAGTCCCAGGGTAAAGGACTCGCCTTTCAAAATCTCAAAATCAACGCGAAGGTCAGCGTCAAGATCTCCAGCAGTTCCGAAGTCAGCGTCGAGAAGGGCACCTGCAAGGGGCACACCGAAAGCTCGTCTGCGACATGACAACTCCCAAATCCAGTTCGAACCCGTCGATTCATCGCCGTCAAATCCCTTCGACCAAGAGTCCCAACTATTGACCGAGCGACAAAAGGAGATGATTGATCGCCAGAGACACTCGACTGGTTTATTTTCAAACATTGGTGCTCCCTCACCTCGACCGGACGAAGCGCCCTTGCCCATGGAGATCGACTCAGACGCCCTGACTACGGATGATTTGCCAGGCCACAGTGTTCAGGCCACTCCAGTGAGGGCTCTTGCAGCAATGGGGCCGATGGACGCCTATCTTGGATACTCTCCTACCCCGCATAGCCGCAAGAGCATCCAAAATGTCGTCAGTGAGGATACAGATGTGGCGACCCCTACTGCCGTAAGAAGCATCCAGTACGCTACAGATGACGAACCAAGGTCTTCACCACCTGGCTTCCGTAAAACAACGCAGCCGGAGGCCGACACAAACAATAGTGTTGTTCTAGTTGGATCTAGTTTCGAATACCGACAGCCAGAGAGTACCTTTTCTACCTCTTTCGACGAAGGAACCACCATTGACGAAGAGGCTTTACTTGAAGCTGTAGCCCATCACGAAAATCCACAAGCAGACGCAGATCTCACTTCAGACAATTCAATGTCTGAGTATCCTAGCTCAGCCATCGACCTTGAGTTGACTGCTCAAATCGACGCTGACATGCAAACGCACGATGAACCTGCGACGGATGGAACAGAGGTAGCAGCGTCCGAGTCCCAGAATGACTTTGTAGACGCCGCCTCCCACCAGCAGTTGTCTATCAGAGATGGGAACCGAGCCGGAAGTTATGCTGAGGTGGAAAACACGCAAACGCCTACTCGTGCCTCCACTCGCCGTACTTCGCGCAAAAGCTCCCAAGCCGGCACAAGCAGCACAAACAAAGTGGACGATTCTTTTGCTGGACTTTCTTCACAAGACACGCCCAACTCGCTCCGCCGCTCCACCCGCCACTCCGCCGGCATTCCTCCTCTCCCCCCAAGCACAAAGAAACCCCGACATCCCCCTGGGAAGAAAGAGAGCAAAGCACAGAAGGCCCAAGAAGAAGTTGAAGACGAACAGTCGCAAAAGCAAGATTCAGTGGAGCCAAACGGTGCAAATGCGCTCGACAACATTGTTGTCGCCGCTTCTCTGACACCCAAGAAGTCACGCGGAAGGAAGCGCAAGGCGATGAGCAGCAGCCCCATGCCTGATGCCGATGTAGTAGCCCCTCAAAGCAACCGCAAAATGAACCTGCGCCGATCGCACTCCACCCTGAATCAGGTCGAAAACTCACAGGACATGACGGTAGTTGAGACACCAGCGCCCAAGCGAGCAAGGCGGAATGATCATCAAGATGTCAGTGAAGCCAAGGAAGAGATACCATCCAGCCAGACAAAACGTCTGAGCCACATTCAAGTCTCGCCACGCCCCCGGTCACGCTCTTCCAATCAGGCTTCACCAACAGCCGATCACTCTATCGAGGTAGCCAAGGACCACTCAACCGCCGACACTACCGTAGCCACAATTCAACCACAACCCTCACCCTCACTCGAACCCGAACCATCACACTATCTCACACGCTCGTCTTCGCAACAAGCTACCGAACTCAAAACCCCCTCGCGCTCCTTTGCCGAACGCGTCATCCTCACCCCACGCAGCATTATCAACCAACTCAAGAGTCTCAAAGACTACATCTTTAGTACCCCGCAGCTCGTCTTTAGCAGAGAGGAAGAGAGGGAGGTTAGCGATGCGGTGTTTCACATCCAGAGGGGCGTGTTTACCGCGGGATTGAAGGCGGCTGGGGAGCTGGAGTATGAATCGTCTGAGCGGCAGTTGGAGCAGTGATGACAAAAGACTCAAAGATGAAAAACATTTGATGACCAAGGATTTGGCGTAAAAAGTTCAGTGAATTGATAAGTGTACTGGAGAGAATTAGGATAAAAAAACAGGGATGTTTTGGTTTGCGTTGTCCATGGCACTGGATGAGATATTTGATACGAGTAGTAGAAATACCATTGTAATGTTGAATATATGACTGGCAATGATGCTTGTAGTTGACTGACTATGCTTGTCCTTCTTAAGTGTAAATGCACTGAATTATCTTATGTCAGCTCAATTGCAAAAGATAGTTAGTCAGGAAGCATCAGTCGCGACCATTAGATACATGTATGGACGATACTGAAGCCTAAAGAAAACAGGTTTAATTAGGGGTTCGTCATTGGATATTTTCAAAAATAGCGAGGCTGAAGTTGCTAGATATAGAAATTCTTCCTCAAAGACGTAGAGTAGTCAATTAAGGAGAAGTTGTGAAAGAAGCTTTTCTAGCACTAACACTTAAGAATCGTTATAAGGAAAAGTTCATATATTGAAAAGGAATTGGTTTTGAACATTGATTTGTTATTCTGTAAGCGGATATCGTATTCAGTCTAGTAGGTCAAGCATAGTACCATCCCTACTTGCATTGACCCATCATAAGAGCTTATGTGATTGTCCCCACTACGAAACCATGGTCCACCCAAAGCCTTACTCATACTAATAATCGTTGGGTACACCCTCTACATAGTTCAAGCGTGCTTGCGCATATGCCCATATTGTGTAAAATACTTTGCCCGACAGTCTCCATCTATCTCTCACATCCCCCCGTTTCTTAACAATTCGTATCGAGCACGATCACCATAACGAACATGCCATATGCCAAGAAACGTGATCAAAAGAACGACCCCTTCTGGGCCCACGGCGGTTGGGGGGCGGTCGAAACAGCTATTGGATCATCTGATAACAAGGTGTCAATGATGGTCAACCCACTCCCTCTTTTCCCGAAGTCGAGCATTTATCCGGATTTTATGATCGAGCCAGCAACGGCAGCGGCAGCTAGAGCGTATACAATTATAAAAAGGGAAATGCAACTGACTGACAACGAAGCAAACCTTGGTACCCCACAAGACACCGGATTCTCGATTTTCGTGTGTCTTGCTGTCTCCAGACATTCCACCGAAAAAGAGCGTTCAGAGCACCTCAAGATTATCCTAGATGGCCTGAGATGGCGGTTCCAGGGGCAAGAGCGCTTCGTACTGGTACGGCAAGAGATGGTGAAACATAGGTTGTGGTCCATGGAGTGCGTCATGAGGAGGACCAGTCTTGACACTGCGGGCGGAGATGTGTTCCTCGCTATATCCAGCGCACTTGAACGTTTCGAGTATGTACAGGACTTGATTAACAACAATGAAGGGTCCGAACGAGTTCCAGAAGATTGTTTGCGAGGTTCATTCGAAGGCCCAACGTATTGGCTTGCTACATTGATCGCGCGCTGTGGCACGAACAATATTCTGAAGGTCGTTGACTGGTTAGAGACATCACAGTACTTTGGTCCCATGTCGGAAGATGGCCCGCTTGACGATGTTAAAGATGTGGACTATGTTGGCTATGTTGATGGTGTTGCGGCGCTCTTTGGCTCATCGGACATATCACAATACTTCGGTTTCATGTCGCAAGAGGACCCAATTGACGATGCTGACGATATTGATGATATCAAGACCAAAGGAACGGATGAGAGCAAATACATCAACTGTCCAAAGGGCGAATTCAGTACGCTGACCAACCATCGAGTTGGCTTCATCCTTCCCTATGGACAGTCCATCCGCGCTTGGGCAACTTTGACGGCTAAGAGGTACGAGGATGTCTTGAATTCTTACACGGACATGTGCGGTGCTGACTCCTGGGAGATGGACCCGCGCTTCGCAGCCATTCTGCAAGAGTTCAGCCAGTCCTTACCTCATGAGTATGAGACTGTCCTAGAGACCAGCAGAGAAGACATGTGAAAGCTATCTATGCGAAGGGCGCCTGAATCGGTTGACAGTGACAGGGGCATCTCGATCAAATGAATTAGCGACTAGTAACGGAGTTTGTGGATAGAGACAGTCGGCCACTTTTAACTGCAAGGGTTGAGTTAATAAATTGCCACGATATACAGGTAGGATTGGCTGGTGTCCATGTTGTGCAGTTGGCTGGACTTCTTCTCGAAATCGATAAATTGATGCGGGAGATACTTGGGATCATGTCATGGGAGACGGGATGGTAACTCCAAATGAACTCAAAATACAGTAACAGTTCGCCTGACGGACAGAATAAATCTCAGTTACGCTAATTTGTAGCGTAAATACATGAACTAGATTGATTATTACGAAGTTACGTTCTAACATGTCTAGCGCCATGTCTACGGACTTGGTGTTGCCGGAATGTTATTGGTGTAGAGAGGCCTGCAACTCTAGCGGAAGCCACTGTTGATGCTGCCACTATTTAGCTTCCATGATATCTTTCTCCGACACGAATAAAGGCTTCTAAGCAGACAAGGTTATTGGCTCCACAATATACTCTTCGCCTACTAATAGTAAGTTTCTAAACAGCACAAGCAAGGCCTAGGCAGACACTAACTATAGTAGCCCTACGCAAGAACGATACGAACTCCACTATACCTCGCGGCCATTATTCCCTTTTGGTATGACCTCAACCTTGTCGACCCAAACCTACGCGATACTCTTTAAAACACTCTGATTTCCATATATTTTGCACACACGTCGCCGTGGTTCTAAGAGACGAGCGCTTACTACCGGACGAATTGTGTGTGTTGCGGACAGTGCCTCGAAAATACCAAGTACAACTCTCATTGCACGTTCCTTCAATATGTCGCAGCCATCGTGCAAGGCATTACAAAATGTTTCAGGGGACTTTTTCTCAGCCATATACGACAATGATTGTACCCATTCTATACCTCTGACTACCATCGCTCGAGCAAGAAATTGTGCATCATCAGGATGCCCCTTCTGCACTATTCTTATGGCCAGTGCTGACCCGTCGTGCTTCCAAGAAGAGGACTTGTACATCCATGATATGAAATTGGGAAGAACAGAGACCGGCCCCGAACAGTCTTTTCGGCTTTTAATCGGCAGCAACGATTTTTCACGTACATTCTTCTATCGCGTGCCGCCTGAATGGAGTATGTCTCACATCTGCAAGAGCACAAATATTCATAACGCGCTAACAGAGATAGGACTTCCGCTTGCTGAGTTGGATAAGCCTTGGGATGAATTGACGCTCATGCGAAATTGGCTGTCTAATTGCGTGATCAAACACTCCAGGTGCAAGCAAATTGCTAGGCGAGGATCTCCCAAACGCGTCCTCGACGTTAAAGCCTTTGTGGGTTCGAACGACATTAAACTGGTAGACTGGCAAAGCGTTCCGACCACAGCAAGATACGTCACACTCAGCCATTGTTGGGGCCCAGCCAATCGCCATCCGATCTGCACAAGCAAAGCCACCTTAAGTGACAGAATGCTGCGGATCCAATTCGAAGATCTCTCGATGACGTTCCAGGACGCCGTCAAGATCTTTCGGGATCTGAAACAAAAATATCTTTGGATAGATTCTTTATGCATTATACAAGACGATGTTGAAGATTGGCGAGAGCAAGCAGCCGCTATGGCTTCTATTTACGGTGGATCACATGTCACCCTGGCTGCGCTCAGCTCTGCAGACAGCACTCAGGGCTGCCGGACCAGGCCAAGGGAGGCAGGAATGCCAAAGTTATCGCGATACCAAGATTTCAATTTCGGTTCTCAACGCGTCAGAATTCTAGAAGACTTGCCAGCTTACTGGCATGAGGAATATGAGGGTTGCGGATCTAACCCGTTACGCACGAGAGCGTGGACACTACAAGAAAGAGACCTCTCATTAAGGTGTATCAACTTTGGTCAGGGCCAACTGCTTCGGCAATGCCGTACTATGAAGGGTTCATCGGAGCTTCCGTGGCACGAGATGATGCATGAATACGACGACTCCGTCCCTTTACCTCTAATGCTCAATCGAGAAGAAGACTTCACCTCTGATGGCTCAGCCTTTCAACGCGATCACTGGTTCAGATTAGTTGAAGAGTACTCTTCCAGAAATTTGACAAAGGAAACCGATAAACTGCCTGCTTTAGACGGCTTGGTCTCAAATTTTTCTGAGAAACAAGACCCTGGAAAGTACTTCGCGGGCATCTGGTCAGATCATCTACCATCGGCACTTCTTTGGAGAACCGTACCACCCTACAGCCATGGTCCAGACCAGCCTGTTAGCCAATATACTGCTTTTTTGCCTTGTCGTCCACAAATGTACAGAGCACCGAGTTGATCATGGGCTTCCATCGATGGAGAGATCAGCTATGAGTGTCAAAGAATTGGCCCCTGCCATGACGCACGCGGTTCCTTTGACAGCAGTTACGGGGACTTTGAGATTACGGATCCTTACAGCCAATTAGCAGCAGCGTTTGATACTATTGGTACCCCTTCTGATGCCACATTACGAATGCGAGGTAACATTGCTGAAATTCAAATTAACATGCAGCTAATCGGCGACTGTATATCTGGAAAGTTTCGACGTCTGATTTTGACAGATGGTGCCACAGTGGGAGCATTGTATCCAGAAATGGATGATGACTTCCGATTTGTGCAATCTGTACATGTCTTGAGCATTCGCTTTGAGCCATATCATTCTTATGTTGAGATGCCTGACACTCTCTATGGAGAAGACGGTCGTCCAAATGGCCCAGTAAGCTGGAAAGGTCGCAACCTAAAAATGGGGCTCGCTTTGCTGCGGGCAGGGTCAGGTGAGATCTACCGACGTGTTGGTTTAGTGCGCTGGTTGAAAAAAGAGGTCTTCGATGGTACGCTACCTCTAGACCTAAGTATCATCTGAGATGGAAAATCTTCAGTAGATATAGTTACGTTTGATCATGAATGAAACAACGCAGTGAAGAAAAAGGTCTTTCCAGAACGAATAAGTGCAGCAGGATGGCCATTAGTCTAAAAACCCCCATATATGTAACTAGGTGCCGTGACGTTCAAAAGCATATACTACGATTCTCAAGTCCAGCACTCGAATCGCAAAATATCAAGTAAATTGTCCTAGAAACTGTCCATGGTATCCGGAGGCATCGAGTCATCAAGGTCTCTAGTCCCAAAGGCTCGTTTAGCAAGATCGTCTTGTTTCGATGCACTTCCCTTCCTCTTCCGTGAGCCTCCGCTATCAAAGGCAACGTGCATTCTTGCCCATTTCTTAACTCTTGTAAACGCCTCATCAACCGGTGCAGGGAGTCTACCAAACTGTACCGCTGAAAGACCATTACTCTTCATCAAGACATGAACATCTGTCCGAGCGCGTGCAATTGCCGGATTCAAAGACTGGCCAAAGACTGTGTCGCGGAACGATGTGAGAGCAACGTTCGTCAACAGAAGGATATCGCCAATTTTGATACCCTGTAGAGCCTCCAGAAGCGACTTCTGAGAACGTGTACGCTCATTTTTGGAGTCTAGGTTCGGACGCATCCAGAAGGCGATTTTGAAACCGGAGAAGGAATCGTCTGCTACAATGATTTCCCAGAGATCCATCCTATAACCGCCTTTTCGGACAAAGACTTCGCGCTTCTCTGGGGTTGCAGTTACGACGCAGATGAAGTTTGGGGTTGGTGTCTGAGGATATATTGCTCGCAGTTGCTGCGCGCTAGGGAGCGAGGCAAGTGGCGTTATATTCAACTTGAGTGGGACATGAATTATGGTGTGCTGATCAGCCTTGTTGGGACTACTATAGTCCGACGTGGTAGTGTCGAAAGATGTGGAAAGGAATGAGGATGAATTGATGGTAGAGTCAGCGCCCTCCCCCGGAACCACTTGAGATGACAGTAGTGTGTCGTGGAAGACGAGCGAATGCTCAATCAAGCCATCAGTATTAAAAGTTGGGTCGTTAAAACTGACAGTGGCATCAAGCGTCGTTGTATCATCTTGTGCGAACGATTGAAACCGAACAACTTCAGGAAGTGATACATCTGCCATATGGCTTCCTAAGATGGACCCAGGGAGGTAAGGGTGTTGCCATTCCGATTGGAGTCGCGTATCTTTCTTCGCAAGGCAGCGCCACTTCATCGCAGGCGTAGAATCTACAGGGGGCGTCTTGCATTTCGCAGCAACAGTGAAGCCATTGCACTCATCAGCAGGTAACAGACAGCCGTCGCTGAAATCCAGATGTTCACGCCTAGGCGCGCCGTTGAGCATCTTTAGCTTCATCTCGCGAATCGGGAGCCTCTACGTCCCGATACACGCGATAAAGCAATAAAGCGGTAAGGCGGGACTTGTATCATTGGTGTGACACGAACAACTAGGCAGAAGCTTTTTTCGAATTGTTGGGGTAATGTGGAGCCGAGAGAGAAGGGGGTAGCCCAGAAGACTCGGAGAAGAGACGATGTCCGAGTGAGCGAGCTGTCTTTCTCCGAGGTGTGGTGGTCTCTGCTTTGCCTGCTCACTCGCCCAACAACGTAGAACCGTGCCCAAAGTCCGATTTGACCGAGCCTGGTAGCGAAACATAAAAGGCTGACAGCCGTAAGAATGGAGTAGAACAAAAAAAGATCTGTAAGCAATTACCTTGGTTCCGCGCTCTGCAAGACGAAGCATAAGACTTACTCCGGCCTTCATCCGTCCCCCCTCGTCACTCATTACGCCGGGGTTTACTAGAAGCCGGGGGTGAGTGCGCCCACATTCCGGGGTTCTTGGCGATCTAATCTACAAATCTGATATAAATGTCGACAATGGCGCCTTCAAAAGCCCCCCACCGCCCGATTAACGCATACAGAGTCCCTGCCATGCTACGAAATCTCTCCTACAAGCTGGGCTCAGCACTGTCGTCGTCGTCCGAAGTCTCTGTCAGCAAGGGCAGCGACGAATTTACCAAAGTTAAGAAGACAGAGGATCTGTTTCCAACTACCAATCCGGCGATTGATGGCGACGACTGTTTGCATGATTGCGCCAGTTGCAGCGTCAAGTACCCTCGCAAATTCGACATCGACGAGACAGAAGAGCTGTTCGGCCACGTGAAGGGTTTCAACACGCACTTGCTTGTTGCAACGGGGAAAACAGACTGGGTGCGCGATGTCGCCGACGAAAAAGGCAGTATCATGGAGGCCGTCGACAGAGGAACCATAAAGCCCAGCAACGGCGTAAGTCTTTCTAATCCCTAGAGAACAATACTTTAGAAACCATGAAGCAAAAAACAGCGCAAACAAGTCCCCTAACTCCCCTTTCAGAAACTCATGCTATCCGCCTCCAACATCCCCGTCCCAGACCACTCCGACCACAGCTCCATGGTCCTCCTCCTCCCCTCGTGGCAATTCATAGACAACGTAACCCCCGCCAACGTCCCCGATCTCATCACGCACTTTGTGAACCCAGGCCCAACAAACAATACGCCGTTGCGGCCGCACACCGCCGCGCTTCCTTCCGCCACAACCCCGGATGAGTCTTCTTCCGGATCCCCATCCCCACCCGAACTCGCCGCCACCGTCATACCACCGTCTCTCCCCGCCACCACCACAACGCCACAACTCAAAGCGCGGCCATGTCCACACAAATACCTCATTCTGATGTGCAGTCAGAAAACAAGAGATGCACGCTGCGGACAGTCTGCGCCGCTGCTGCGCAAGGAGTTTGAGCGGTTACTACGGCCCATGGGGCTGTACCGTGATTTACACGATGAGCGGCCGGGGGGTGTAGGGATATATTTCATCAGTCACGTTGGCGGACACAAGTTCTCGGCGAATGTGATGATTTATCGGCATTCGTCGGTGGTTTCACAGGCGAACGGTACGGGTGCGAATGGACATGCGAATGGTGCGGAGAAGCAGCTTGGGGATTTGAAACTCGAGGATGAAGAGGGCAGGGAGGTTGTGCTGGATGCGAATAAGGAGCAGGAGGCGGAGGGTAGGGGAGAGGCCGCGCAGTGTATATGGCTTGCGCGGGTGAAGCCGGAGGATTGTGAGAATATTATCAAGTACACGGTGTTGCAGGGTAAGGTTGTGAAGCCGGAGAGGCAGTTGAGGGGTGGGTTTGATAGGTGCAAACAGCTGGCTAGCTGGTAGTGGGCTGTTATGCCACATGTTTGGGATTCTCTAGGAGTTCCTTCGCAACGTAGATGATGCAATACCCCGCTGCTCATGGCAGTACATATACATAGTAGGTTATCTATTCACAGCATACATGGCGCGTAGAATGGACTGGAATTCAATTGTCTCGCTAATGCAAAGCATATAATGACAAATGTGAGAACATTCATAAGTAACCAAAGTATTTTCTCGCGTACTCGACATGAAATATTTGGCCATTCGTCCATGTCCTGACAGAATGGCGGTATGCTTGGTAGCCTGCCAACAGGAAAAGAGTTTAAAAAGGTATGACGTAATCTGCTCTCCGAAGCAACGTTGTGGGGTATCTTCTGGGTAAAACAAAACACAGCCGCGACCAGCTGTAACCACCAATTTAGTCTCAAGAGTGACTGATCGGACTGGCAACGTGAAGGCAGAAGGCCAGGAGAGTTGCATGCTTAGTGTGAAATCAAAAGAGTCGCTGTGGCGGCCGTGAACCGATCGCATCAGGATAGGTGTTTCGATGTGGCCATCTCATCAGCCCGCAGCTTCCTTGACTTTTCCACCAGTTGTAGGTGCTTCGTCGATAAACTGTGGTGGCGCAGTCTCGTCCAGCATAAAATTAGGCACGCCGGAGGATTCTCCAATACCCTCAAAGTCAACTTCGTCGCCCAAGGCTTCCAACTCGGCATCCAGTTCCGACTCGTCCACATCCTCCGGTACATCGTAGCTGCGGCTTATAGCATCTTGTATATCATTGCCCATGTCCATGAGGTCTGCCATTTCGTCTTGAATTTTGTCAATCTGATCAATGTTGATCTTGCCGTACTGCTTCCTCAGCTCTTTGGTCGTCGTCTTCATGGCGTCGATGGTGGTCATGTTGTTCTTGAGATTGTCCTGCATCATGCCGGCTTGTTCCATGTTCCATGATTGGGCTTGCAGTTGGTCGCGCTGCGCTTCATACTGTTTCCGCTGCTGTAGGACTTTGAGGGCTTTCTGCTTGATGGCCGTCTTGCCAGGTCCGTCTCGCATCTTGGCGAGCTTCTGTTGATAGGTGCTCAGCTCGGCGTTCAGTTTGGCGAGCTTGACATCGATGCTTTCTATCCGTGTGTCAACCTGTCATTGTTAGTACATGGCGAATGCATGTAAATGCGCATATCGTACATTGGATATGGCGCTGCTGAGCGTTGGTTTGGGCGCGTTGCTCTTTGCTCCGAATAACCGGTTCATGATGATGTGATTCCTGGGGTGATTGCGGCAGACAGGCTAGACTCTTGGGTTGTTGTGCATGTAGTTACGAAGACAAAGGCATATGCATATGGAAGACGCTGGCAAGTGGGGAGGAGCGCAGGCAGACGGCGAATGATGGTCGTAAGGATGCGGGCACGCCAGCCAACCAACAGAGCGCCAAGAGTCAATTGAGCCTAGCCAAACATGGACATGCCGCAAGTTACTCCATACCTCCAATTCTCTATTACGTCTTGATGCTATATATCATGGGCCGATAATGGAACAATCTAAGACCTGAATACAGCAGAGATGTGATTCGATAGATGGCGTAAGCTTCTTTCTGTCGAATGCTCGAATTGTATTGTTCACGGCTGTTGTGATAAGGGCCATTTGTTTTCGAGCAGCAATGATAACGTCAGTAATTTGTAAGAATAAAAGTTTTAGTCTCATATCCTCGCATGATTCTCAAATCCTCCCGTAGAAAGGTAGATCTAGTAATGTTTGTACGGTAATCATAGATGCGCTTACTCCTTGCTTAGGCTGCTGTGAAATCTGCTGT